TCGAGTAGCTGAGGATAAATGTTACCACAGACATTATCGTCGTGCTTGTCCCGTATATGTACGAATATGCCACAGCAAGACATCGGATAGTCGAGTAAACAATAAACCAGCCAAAAGCCAGAGAAAGCACATTCCCGAATTTAGCAACTGTCTTCGAGAGCAGGAGCCAAGAATTTCGGGAGTCCAAGATTCTTGCATGCAAATTTCTCACGCTATCTTGATCAATGTTTCCCAGTTGCATTTCAAAACGCTTATTTTGAAATAGGTAAAATTTTAAATTTGCAGATTAATTTTAAAATTGTATTTCTGCTTTTACCTTGGTTTTTGACAGAAGTGTTTCAGATACAATTTTTAGACTCTTACACGCACAGTACCACCAAAGAATCATCAAATACTGATTGTGCAACGCAATTTGATTGGCGATTAATTCCAGCACAACGTAAGAGTGATTTGTCCCATCAAAATTGTAAAATACTGCACCGTATGTACCCATGGTGATGAAAAACGGAAAGCAGCAGCTCAATATAAGATTGACCCTCAGCTCTAAATGGATCGATTTATTTTCTGACTTGAAATTGTTTTAAGAAATAATTGAAATATAACTTTTTATTTAATAAAATCTTTACCTTAAATTCATTCCACCTGTTCAAAAACTGCATCACGTCTTTTCCTTGCAAGAGGGCGAGAAAATTCAAAGCAAAAGGAAATGCCCTCTGAATAACGAAAAACCGTGATATCGTGTATTTAGAAAAGGATTTGGCCTGTATCTCCTCCTTCTGCATTAAATTATCTGTAGAAATGTTAAACAAGATATTATTTGATATTTATGTACCTGTAGAACGTGTTGAGCGTGCGAAATGACTTTGACGATCAATAGTAATTGAAGTGCATTGGAGAGAATCGCGATGAATAATTGACGACGACCAATTTTAAAGACACCCGTTTTTTCCTCCACCACCCAAGGGACGAAACCAAGTATTCTGAAAATTCTTAGAAGTGACCAAATTTCTTTGGCGAAAACGTTGCAGCGTGGCACAGTCATATTCAAATACAAACTTCCTTTGCGTGATAATATCAATAATGATCATCATTTTCCCACTACATTCTTTTGTTATTGCCTAATAAAATATTAATCCATTGCGATTTTCCCTGCCACTTGACACGATTGGCCTAATTTTATTCACTTTAATTGTAGAAGTACTATTATTAATGTAAGGGTGCTGATTAAAACCTGAAAAAAATGTGAAGCAAAATTAATTAAGCTCCTCTAGAGAAAAAATTAGAGAAAACAATTCTTTGATTTTTGAAGAAATAAGAAATTGTTTTTTTGTGTAAACTAAGCGGCAAAATTATTTGCTGATTTTACTTTTCGGTGTAAAACAGGTAAAACTATTTAAAAAATCATTCCACAAGAAACAGTCTGTTTTTAACTTATATTTATGATTAAAGTGTTCGTAGATTTAATTTTCTTACAGCACTTTGAAACTTCTTGCCTAAACTGACGTATCCACCAAGAGAAAATTCTTCGACGTGAAATTTAATTGTGTGTCTATAATACGCCACCATCTAAATTTGGAGCTTGTAAAGTACATGAAAATCAATTAAGATCAACAAACCGCGTCATTAATCTTCTTATCAATTCTCAAACGCTCGGTCACTTTCAAACACTGAAGTAAATTTCTACACATCTGCAATTGGAAAATATTTTTCAAATTAATTGGTGGTTCAATTTATTTACATCACCGTTGTTTGCATTTTGTGCGCAACATTCGTTGTATTCAGCAGGTGACAGACGTGAAACACGATTCCTCCTGCAAATATATGCAGTCTGTGCGGAGTATTCAATGACGAGTAAACTAGCACGAGAATGTCTCCAAATATGTACACCATCATGTAATTATAAACCATGGAAAATGCGTATCCCAGGTCGGCAACTGCCTTGGACAATGAAAACCAAGCGTGGCGGAAATTCAAAATCTCAAATTTTAATTTCGTTCCGTTTTTATTGCTGACTTCCTAATTAATTGATTATTTTTTCTTATTAAAAGTAAAATTAATTAGTGTATTTAAAATACTTAACAAAATTCAAATTTAATACGAACTTTGTAACAATCTCGAAGATCGTTGCCAAGATTTATAATTAATCTGCAACTCTGAAGCCACCAGTAGGCCAGCACGAGCTGGTAGATGGCTGTCAATCCAACAGCGAAACCAAATAAAAAGTTGCGAATTGAAATTTCTCGATTAAAAAATGCAAGCGATATCACTGAAGTAGCAGCAGAAAAATGCATTAATATGAACATGGCGTTTTCCTTGTTTGCTATAATGGGTTTTTTGTCCGTTATTTTGCCGCAACATTTTATCTGGACTGCTGCTAAATTGATCTAAAAATTTAGATTAATATAGATGTTTTATATCAAATTCAAAGTAAAAAAACTTACCTGTATGTTATTCCAGCTGTTAAGGTATTGGATGAATGATTTTGATTGGACAACTGCAAGGACAGGCAGTGCAAGTGGAAGGGCCCTTTGCAATGTTATAAACACTTTTCTAAAGTATTCAGATGGAGATTGAGACCGCTTTAGAATTTGCTTTCATGCGAAAAACAAAAGTTGAGAATTTGATTTTTATTTTCAAATTGAATATTGAATACCTTTAGTTTGTAAAAGTCGATAACATAAATTGATATTACAGTGCTGATCATGAGCAGATTGATAAAAATGCAATAAATTAAATTAGACCTGCCCATTTGCATAACAGCAAAATCATGTTCATGACATTGGTCGATTTTCCAAGGTGAAAATCCTAATATTTTAAATAATTTTAAAGCAATATGCAGTTTTCGGATGTAGATATTGTGTCTAGAGTGCGACATTTCGTCATGCGGTGCCAGGAAATATGCATCTATTTTATGTCAGTCAAAACTATCTATTTTTTGTATGATTATTGATTTATTTGACAATTTTGATGAAATGTCACAATACATACTCCAGTACTACTTTCGCAAATTACGTACGTCTATGCTATTTGGGCCAAACAAATCAAAAACGTCAATGTTGAAGTAATAACCTATAATAATATAATATTTTGTTAAATAATTTGCATGAAAAAAATTCCACGGTTGTCACCGTTGATAGAAAAGTTTTTCCTGTAGACACATATCCTGCTAATGAAATCTCATTTACGTGATGCGATTGCAAAAGCGTGAAAAACTCATTCATCTGCGGCAAAAATCAATAATTGATTTTTAAAACAAATATTAATATTTTTAAGTTTTATTTAAAAAATATATTATATTTACCAGAAATTTTGATTTCTCATCAATTGCTATTGAGTTGATGGCATCAATCGCTTTCATCAGATTTATTCTCATCTGCTAAAACATCTTAAGTATTCTCTATTAAATTTTTATTCATCTCCGTACGTCACTTTGGAGGCTGTGTGAGTTTGAAGTGATGATCTGAATGGTGATAGTGCTCACCACAACTCCCATTAGGCTCGCGCCAGCTCTTTTTGGATTGATTATTACGTTGAAAATGACGGCAACGCAACGTGCAAAAGAGTAAAGCAACAAACATGTCATCGCCATTGAGTAAACGTTTCCCAGTTCAGTGACTATTTTCGAAATTAGCAGATAAGATTGGCGGTAGCTCAAAACTTTATGCTCCAAATTATTCTTTTGGTCAACACTCATAGGGCAGGTTTTAGATAATTGCTGAAATTTAATTGAAGGCATTTCTGGTTATCATTTTTATTAAATTATTAGACTCAAATAAAGATAACATTGATTTCACTGAAATAAAAAAATAGTGACAAAAAATTCACACTTCTAAGGTTTCTAGCATAGGGGTTTACCTTTTTCCCACTAAAAGCGTTTGAGTATTTAGGACGTAAATTTTTGTTTTATATTACTAATTTCCATTGTGTATGCAATTTATTTAAAATTTAAATCTACACTTCGCTAAAAGTTCAAAAGCTTTTGGGAGGAAACCCTTTTGCCATCCTTAGGAGAGTCTGTTAAATTATGAAGTATTATTTGTTATTTTATCAAAAAAGCTAATACCTCAAATTTGATTGATAGAAAATCTGCGTATTTTCTAAGGCATCGACATGTGATGCACCACCAAAATATCAAAACCACCTGATGTTGCAGCATGATGTAATATGTGATTAGGTTGAGCCACGTGATTTGAAGTTTTTGGTCAGAAACGGCGCCCAGAGTTAGAAAAACGCTACTACCTTCTGCGGCTAGGATGAAGTAGTATTTACTTTTGAAGTTAAACGTCAATCTTTTCTCTTGAGGCAATAGATTTTTTACTTGCATCTTGTAAAGGAAAATAGTTTTAGGGTTAATTTATTATTTAAAATTTATGTGAAACCTCCAGTATATTCCAAGTGTTTAAAAATGCGATGAAATTGTAGCGTTGAGAAAAAGCAAGGATTGACATTAAATGTGGAAAAAGTCTCTGCAGATTCAAGTATCTGTTCATGACACGCACACCAAACGTCTCTTCTTCATCCTGATATGATAAAAAAAAATTAGATAAATATTTGAGGTTCTGACTTTTTTAAACCTTAAGTGAATTGATATCTTCATGAAGAGATATGAAAAGAAGCAAAATTTGAAGAGCCAAATTTGTAAAGCAATAAACGCTTTGCAGCTTTCCAACTTGAAATTTGATCGGATTTCCGCGGGAGTCCTCCTTGTAAGGCGCGACTCCCAAAAACTTAAGAATTTTCAACAGGAAAATGTTCTCTTGACAGTAGATGTTGTGCTTGGCCGACATTTGGGTCAACTAAAAACATCCTCGATGAGAAAAGTTTGTTCCAAAATGACAAAATCGATCGAATCGAAGAAATGTCAAACTTTTTACGCCCACTGAAGCTTTGTGATTCTCTTTTGATTGGGAGTTCTGATATAGCTCACGTTAAAATATTAGAGCTATTTTTGATTAATTCTTCCACTTGTGGATATTAAAATTTCAATGATTTTGTTACAGAATGACGCTGTCACCACCAGAAAAAGGTCCAGAGAAGGAACAGGGGGTCCAGCTGAGCTTGCTGGAAGCTGGTGAAGCCGAAGGAGGAAACACCAACGGCCTCCAGAATGGATCTTCTACCCCTTACAACCCTCACCAACACCGACAACATGTACATCCAACCTCGTAAGTTTGCTTGAATTTCAAATTCAAAAATATATAATAATCGACGAAAAATAAAATTATGTTTTAATAGTTTAGTAAAATAAATAAATCTGAGGCAAAAGCTGAAAACTGAAAATTAATTAGAACGAAGACGGAATGTGTATTTTACTACAAAATATTCAATTTGAGGAAGAATGAATTTCAAATATTCTAACGTAAAGTTTAATTTATGTTTTAAGAATGAACTAAAATCCCGCCTTTTTAAATAATTTTTTTATGAAAAAAGTACCTAATTTTGGTAATTTATTACATTTAATTAGACCTCCCGAATGGTCAATCTGTGTTAATTTCTGCACTGGTACGCCTAACATGAAATCAGTTTTAATCTTTTACCATCCCTCCGCTTTAAAATTCGTAACACGAAAATGTGCCGCAATTAGCTTGCTCCAATGTGGGCATTGACGCTCGCCAATAAATTATGCATGCAGAAATCGTACGACAAAATGCTGATGACTTAATGGCCGCTGCTTTTAAAATTAAGAATATGTTAATGCGCGAGAGTGGATTCGAATTCGCTGCTAGTGGGAGAGGAGCACATGGTGTGCGCGAAAACGTACGGGAAATGGAACGAGTGGTCCGACACCCACCCAGTCCATTTGCATAAATCACCGCTTAACTCTCGCACGATCGCACACAAAACTACGGTCACACCTATCTGACCTATCTAACAAGGAAACGCTTGTTTTTCTCGCACACGTGCACTTTAAACCAATAAAAGCAATAGTTATAAAACCTATAAATAGTTGAAAAAGAAAATGAAAAATAAATACAAAAAAGCAACTAATTTTTTTTTCAACCATTTTATACGTGAAAGCCTGCAATGCATTTATTTTTAATACATTTTTAAATCAAATTTGGATTTTTTTTACAAGGAACAAAGAAACGTTGATTCATCTGCTGAAGGGCAGTTTGGGTACCGGAATTTTGGCCATGCCGATCGCCTTCCACAACGCTGGTCTCATACTTGGACTCATCGGAACAGTTTTCATCGGGTCACTCTGCACATATTGTCTCCACGTTCTTGTAAGTTACAAAAATACTTAAATTTAAAAATAAATCAAGAAATATAAACATGAATTTATAAAAAAATATTTATTTACTTTACTTGATTTTTGAAAAAATATTCAATATTATTTTGAAGTTCAAATTTTTTTCTAAATTGCAAAACAATATTAATCAATTTAAAAGCTATGAAGAAAAACGCCTTTCGTTGGTAGAGTATGCAACCTGCGTTACTCACAACCCCAACAAATTGCATATCCTTCACTTGGATTTTGTGTTGAGCCAAAATAATACTACGTAGTTTATTTTTCTCACTCGCCGGCCGAGATCAATCTAATGTAGCCGCAGAAAGGTCGGAACCCGTTTCTTTTGATGGCTCCTCTCGCAGAGTCGCGAGTGGAAATTTCCACTCCAAATCTTCTGCCCTCCAAGGTCACCTTCGCCGCCTCTGTGAGACTATTTTGATGATGGACGGAGGAACAGTGGCACTCGTCCCACAAATTTGTTATTTTTTTTCTCTGATAGTGCCCACGCGCCCAATTACACTTTATTAAGACTTAGCACTCATTTTAACGGTGAATTTAATAATTTATAATTTTGAGCACTTTATTTTCTTTCAAATTTTTTTTAATCAACTACATAATAAAAATATTTTACAGTTTTTTTATTTTTAATTATTCTTTAAGTTATGTCATTGCTGTCAGAGCTCGATACTATAATAATTATGATTTATGATAAACGCTAATAATTGAGTAATTTAATATTTGATAAATTTATTTTATTTCATAATTTATTAATGTTCATTTTTTAATTTTAATTTTTAATTTTTCAAAAGCTGTTAAACATTATAAATAAAATGTTTAAAAGAAACTTTTAAATAGAACATGCCATAGTTAAATTTTTATTGCAATTAACATTAAGCATCATTTTTTTTACAAAATACGACATTTTTTTGCTCAAAACGTTGTTAACAGGTCCGCTGTCAGTACAAATTATGTTGCCAATTGAGGGTTCCTGTGTTAAGTTACCCCATGACCCTCCAAGTAGCCCTAGAGCAGGGTCCACCCTTCTTGAGATGGGGTGCGCCTTTCGCCAAGTATGATTATTTGATCCTTGAAGATTTCACCTGATTTAAAAAAAAATTCTTAATTTACAGGCATCTCATTAACTTTTTCCTCATTGTGTATCAGCTCGGAATCTGCTGTGTTTACATAGTCTTTGTTGCCTCCAACATTAAAGAGGTAAAAAATATTAAAATATATTTTGAGGTACAAGAAATGAAATAGGTTTTAATAATAAATTGAATTCTTTTTACGAAACAACTCATTGCAATTTGAATTCAATCAGTTTGAGAAAAATTAACATGAATTTATTTAGAGTTTTGGTTTTTTCACCTTATTTCCTTCAGATTGATTTTCAAAATATATTTTTAACTTATACATTTTATGAATTCCAATTTAAAGCTTCCCTTAAAAAAAAAAATAGATTATGGTGCATTATTTGAGACCAAAAAGCTTTAAGATTGACATTTTAATTTTTCATATTTACTTATAATTTTTTTTCTAATATTGTATATTTTGCGGTAACCTGATTAAATTTTCTTGTATATTACAGGTTGTTGACGTGTACTGGGTACCAGAGCACGATGTGAGGTGGTACATGCTCGCGCTCTTGTTGCCACTGATCTTGCTAAATTACGTGCGCAACTTGAAGTTGCTCGCGCCGTTCTCCACAGTAGCTAATTTGCTTACTTTTGTGGGGCTGGGACTCGTTCTTTACTTTGTTTTTGCTGAAGGTCTACCCGGACTTGAAGATAGGAAACTCGTCGGCTCAATTCAAGGAATCCCATTGTTCATCGGCACCACTCTTTTTGCCCTCGAGGCGGTCGGCGTTGTAAGTCAACCATTGTCAACTTGCTTGCTCTCGCGGTTCTGCTCTTAAATATCACCTTATATGGTTCTTACTGTCCCAAAAACATCAGTTATTATCATTAAAAATTAAAATTAATTTTCCTGTTTCTTGATAATCATAGAAATACACTGTGTACCAAAATTATGATTATATACTAATAAGAAATTATTTACCTTTAATTTTTTCCCCTAAATAAATCATCTGTTATTTACAAAAATGCGTTAGTAAATCTTTTTAATAAATAATTGTTGAATGAAAGACAATAGGACATAAAATTTTTTAGGATAATGAAATAAACTATTGAAATTAACACTAAAAATGGGTGTCTAGGGATAATTAATTCTCATTTTAATGCGTTCATCTTCATATTGTTGACACAGATTTTGGCCCTGGAGAATAATATGAAGAAACCGGCCTCATTCGGCGGCTACACTGGCGTTTTCAACCAGGCAATGTTTGTCATTGTTTCTCTGTATGTCGCTGTTGGAGCGTGCGGCTATTTAAAGTATGGTTCCGACGTTCAGGGCAGCATTACCCTTAATTTGCCCAATGATAATGTGTAGGTTTTCTAATTTAGAAATTTTATAAATTTGCTTAAAATTTTTGGGAAATGCAGATTGGCGCAAGTTGTGAAGGTAATGTTTTCGGTGGCTATCTTCATCACCTACGCCCTGCAGTGCTACGTGCCAGTGGACATTATCTGGAATAACTACTTGAGACAGAAGTACGAGAAAAGCTCCAACAAGCTGCTGATTGAGCTAGGTGTCCGGACCATTCTAGTTTTAATTACTTGTAAGTACAAAAATAATACGAGTTGATTTAAAAAAAAAATATTAAGTAATTTAAATAATTTTACAAATAAAAATAACTGTTGATTAAAATTTTTCATAATTTTATAATTTTTTTGCATATAAATTTTTTAAACAAACTAAAAATGAATAAAAAAATTTTAATTTAATATTTCTTTTTATTACGTTTTACTTATTTTGTTCTTTAGTAGAAAACATTGAAAAATAGTTAATGCTACGTAAAAATAATTACTAATATGTACAACAAAGTGCCATCTTGTCTTTATTATGAATACATAATGATTTATATATTACCTAATTAAATTTAATTTAGATTTACAGAGCCCACAAACAGTTATCTGTATCAATGTTAACATGTTAATTTTATAGAATATTTTAGTCTGGTAATTTAAAATTAGATCTAAATAGGCACAGTAATAGTATTATAAATAATCAAATTAGTAAAATAATTGCTTCCTTCTTTTAGTCTTGCTTGCTGTTGCCGTTCCAAGGCTGGAGTTGTTCATCTCCCTGTTTGGAGCTCTGTGCCTTTCTGCCCTAGGCCTGTGCTTCCCAGCGTTGATTGAGCTTTGCGTCGAGTGGAAAAACAGCCCTGGTCCCTTCCTGCTGCTGAAAGACTTGGTGATTTTCATTTTCAGTTTGGTGGCGCTGATCATCGGCACCAGCATCAGTCTTTCCGAAATTGTCCACTCTTTCCAATGAGCATTGAAAGTTCAAAGAAAGTAGTTTGTTCAAAACCAAATTATTATGTTATACCTCAAATATTCATTGATTTGATCAAATTAATTGTATTTCACTGTAAATCATCTGAATGCTCTCTGATGTACATTTCTTCTCATATGTGTCATATATTATATAAAAAAATGCCGCCTATAATCTCGTGTCTGCTCCCTCTGTGAAGGCGTCACCCAAGGTTCAAGTATTTTAATATGATTCTTAAAAATTTTCTATGTCTCAAAACCCTATGTAATCTTAATCTCTTTGATAATTATGGGCTGTTGACGGCCAAATTTTATTATATAATTTTAACTAATTAATGTAATTGGATGCTTGTTCTTCTACAATATGTGTAAAATTCGCCTTAACAAGTCTTATCTTTGAGATGAGTAAAATACTCAATTGTTAATTTTAATTGTGTGTGTTTGAACACAGAGATTTTTTATTTCAGTAAAAATAAAAAAACGTACGCACAATTTTTCAAGGGATTTCAATTAATGAAATGCAAAATTTTATATTATTTTTGTTTTTTTAATATCATAATTTATAATGCAAGAAGAAGTGCTTGGTTGTATATAATTATACTATAAATACTTGATGTAATAGTTTGTTGCTACAATATCGTCAAATCTTTTTTCGTTTGTTTTCCATGTTTATTGATGAGAGAACGTTTTTGCAAAATTTTTAGGAAGTATGATCAATTCTACGATCAATAATATTGTATAATATTTATATCCGTTTTTGTTAAAATATAAAGATAGCATTCTTATTTTCATTATCAACAACATGTCTCTTGCTCAACCATTGTGTTTTGAAAATTTCGCTAAAAATCTAAAAATATGACCAAAGCAAACAAAGTGTGACAATTAATTAAGACAAAGTGCAAAAATATAAAAATACGCAAAAGTAAAACAACTTTTTGACAAATAATGGCAACATTAAAAAGGGTCCTGCCATTTCATACAACAGAATAATATATGCATTGAAAATCGGAAAAACACACATTAATCATTTTTGAAAATTTCATGAAATGGAAACATATTTAATACAAATAGATTTTACATCAACAATAAATAGAAAGAAAAAAACACGTCAGAATATAAAATTCTAACACATTAAAGATGTAATTTAAGGAACAAGTAGAATATCTCCATCGAAAAATGACAATATACTCTGAAAATATGTTCAGTCATTCACGCCCCGCGACGTGTGTTGTCACTCGAAAAATTATACAATGCAATTCCAACTTTTTATATGAACTCGCCGCCACAGAGAATATGCAACAAAATTTTTGATCCAAATCTAACAAATTTCTTACAAAAAGTTTTGAAGCTGAAAAGTGGCAGCTCATTTCATCCTCCGCGAGTACATTTTTAAAAACGGGCAATAAAATGAATGGAAGAAAAAACTGAGACAATTAATATTTTGATCATTCAACAGTATAGCTATGTACATTTCACGCGGGTGAATTAAACTACGGGTCTAGGAGAGGATCTAAAGAGAGAAAGAGAGAATGCAGTGCAAATTCAACGCGATATTTACTTATTTACAATGCAATCAATCGTGTGGTTTGAGCACCAATTACAGAACATCTGGTGAGAGAGTAGAGTGAGCGCCGGCCACAAATCCTATGAGCGTCAAATTTTATTTTATACCAAAAAGAGAGGGACGCGGCAAACTAAACATTATTCGTCTTTTAGTAACGAGTCATTTTTCAATCATAAATACCTGCTTTGATTCGAGAAAAACAACTGATTTTATTTCAAGTTTGTGCTGTCGTCTTTGATTAAAAACTAGAAACTATTGGCGTTATTGAAAGTCAGTGGGTTTGTATTTTCCAATGCATGTTCCTAGCATTACGTTCCTTATAATTTATATACTCAAATCGCTAAGTCGCTACGTTTTATTTCCTCTGTTTTAATTAAGTGTATATAAAGCATAATTATATCTCTCCAATTTTTCTTTCTCGTCTGGCGGTATATAAGAAGAGCGGTATTTTATAACTTATGTTTGTTTTTATTTACAAGAGAGATTAATATGTCCCTCTGTGTGTGTGTGTGTAAGTGTGAGTAATGTTGTCTCTGTGAATGCGAGAGAGTCGTATGAGATTAAAACTCTTTCGTTGAATAGTTTCTAACTTGCACTATCACATCAAACTTGAACTGAACCGCAAATGAAACAGCGTACTTGTGTCTGTGTGTATTTTGTGTCTTTGATCGCAAACCATTTCTTTGATTTTTTTCTTACATATGATTTAATGTTATTTGGTAAATTTTCCTACGTCGAAAACCATCTTTCGAAACCCTTTCTTGCTTTCTTTTTCGTTCAACGGATGAAGTAAGAACATGATTTTAGGTACTTTTCAGTAACTTACGCGCGACGTCATTTAATAAAAATACCTACTCGCTTGATTTGTACAAAAATGTTAACACATCCTTTTTCTTCTTTGTTCGCAATGTTTAATAATCACAAAGTTATAGAATTTCCACAACTCCTGCTCTCGTTTACATTTTTCAGTAAGTGTGTGAGTGGTTTTTTTTTCAGGGTGCTTCTTTTATTTTAAACGCAGCCAGGCCGATAAAAATTGAGCTAGTCAAAAATCCCAGGAAAATATTATACACACAAGCTTCAATTTCTCCTTTTCCCCCATCTCCTTTGAAAATGCGAGTTCAATTACAGTGTGTGCTGTCTACGTTGCGATTGATTGAAGCTTGGGGAGGTAACACCCAAGACAATTATTACAAAACAAAAAAATCTTTCTCAAATTCCTATCGATTGAATCACTCGTCTCGGACCAACAATGTATAAGTAATTTTTTTTGTTTCTTTCATAAATTGATTAGATTAAATTTTTAAGTTTTCAATTAGGTTCGAGAGTTACTAGACAGTAGAACACTGACCCATTTTCGATAATTTTTCATATTAACAGTTGTGGATCATATCACCCCTGTCATTGCTTTCACTATTCTCCTTCTCCCTATAATTCTATTATTTAATATAATAAATTTTATTATTTGCAATCTCTCTCTTAACCGTATAAATCTTGTTCAAATAATGATGATCTCGTTAAGTAATGTAGGTAGTTTAAGATATTTAAGATATGATGCAAAACGCTACAGTTTCTTCCTATTTCGTTATTGTGTGGTGTACCTTTTGAGGTAAAGTACATGATGCGCGTATATAAGTTAATGTAAGAAGTAGGGCTCTACCTTTTAATAATACTCTCAACTACGTTGATTTTACCTTTTCGCCTCCGTTAAACTTTTGGCGACCAACTTGTCTGTCAGAATTTTCAATTCTTTTTCTCTATTTTTGTAACCAATATTAGAGAGAGAGTTTGAGGTAATAAAATATTAATTAACTTTTACTTTTGATTGCATCTACGTGATTGGAGCGCGTTGTGGAATTCGCAACAAGTCTCATGGTTGATCTTTTATCAAATTTTTTCGTCAAGAGAGAAGTCAGAATAAAAGCATTGCGAGATTTTTTACTGATTGCTGCGTGCAACGGTGGTCCGCGTTGATTTGCGCCACTTTTTTATATGCGTCTCCAAACGGGTAAAATTCATTTAGGAGGTTACTTAGAGGGATTTTTTGCCTTTTTTGTCACCAAGAACAAGAAGAAGGTACAAAATCCAAAGTAGAAAGATTGCCTTTACAATTAATGAAGATTTTTTTTTCAATTTTTCTACATTTTGCGAGAATTTGAAACTACTTGGAGTTTTTCTACAGAGATTTACAAATACTTTTTGGAATTGTTGTGTGTGTGTGTTGTGGATGTGTGTGTTTTTTTTTTTTTAATATTAATTCATAATATCGGTATTTTCTTCACATGGCAGTGGTTATGCGTGCTTTCTCAGTAATAGGAAAATAAATCATACCATCCAACTTGATAAAACATGCTTATATACTCAATTGGTTATGTGCATAAATTATTATTATTGACTCTGCTTTTCAATTTTTATTTTCTCTTTATTGCCGCGATCTCATCTAATTTTTATTGCAATTGGCCTGCATCAATTGTAGAATTATATTTATAATAATGAGCTAAAAGTCGCCTACGTTTTAGGTACTCGTTTTTTCTGTTCAAAAATCGACGGTGGCGTTTATAAAAGCTTGGCAAAAATTACTACGATTGGCATGAAGAAGGGCGGAGGAAGTGTATCTGGAAGAAAAATTAAAAAAAAAAATCGCGTGGGAATGTGTGGGGAAGGAAAATGGAAAAGAGTTTCTCTTTAGAGTAAAAGGGTAGCTTTGCGTATTTCAGAGCTAGCAATCAACAGACAAAGGAGCGGCAAAGTCAGACTGGCCGCCTAGAGTGACTATACACTATTGACTTTTAATTAATTAATCAATGAATTAACTCCCCTACATAGGTTTTGATTTACTCGTAGACAGTATTAATAACAAGTCGTGGATGTATGGCGCGAGCTTTTTTCATGAAAGACATAATGTGAGCACCAGAAAATGGGCGCTTTTGTAATATTATCATTTTTTCTTCTTCTTTTAAATTCCAACTGAAAAAATTGAGAATATTTGTATATTTATTTTGAATTATGAGTGAATGAGTGTCTACGATTACGAGTTAGTCTTAAATTTATGTTTATAGTAGGAAAGTAGAGAATTTCAATTCATCCACACTTCGAGTACTATAGACATTTTATTCCTCTTTTTCCGCCTCCAGTTTTGTTTGTTTCTCTCTCGCCAGTTACTGACTAAACTCTAATTTTTTAATTAACTATGTATCGGTAATAATGTGATATAATATTAATAATTATGTTGTGAACTCTTAGCCTATTTTTATGATATAATTAATTAGTAGAGATTTTTTTCAAATATGACGGCTGATCGCTATTTACATATCAGAGAGGATAAGTTTAAACTTTGTCATCTTTTGGTATTAATTATTTTAAAACTTCCTCTGTCGCCTTAAAATTTATATAAATAAAATAATTTTTTATACTCTCGGTAATACAAAAACACAAAGTATTTATTCTTACTTACTTACTTAGTCAATAATTCAACAACGTGTCGCAAGATATTATTTTTCTTTCGGTTGCTAATTTTTTCCCTATGTACACTTACTTCACTTGAACTCCACTCAATATTTTGTTTGTTAACCCTTTTTTCTCTGTTCCATAAAAATAGTACCAACCGAGGGCCCCGCCGTCAGTTCAGATATTTAATTTAATTCCCTATTATTCACGCTCTCTCTTTCTCATTTTCATTTCATTTTGGTTCGGTCGCGCATTCTTTCCAGTTTTCTACTTAACGAAAGTTGGATGGACGTTCGCAAGGGCAGCTCCTCTCTGCTTCTCCTGCTGCAGCTTCATGGAGATGAGGCAGAAGATGCGCGTCAGGTAAGTTGAAATGATCTGCAGCTCATTACTATGATGAGGGATTGCTGGGTGGTTTGTCTCAATTTCCATTGGAGTCACTTCCTCCACTGCCAAAGAAAAAGAACAAGGATAAGCCAATTTTTTGACGACTTTTTCCGTTTTGCATTACTGAATTACCTAGTGGTACGACAATTGCCCTTAGAATTTCTAATCTAAAGCTTGCGTCGCGAGAAGCGGCTTCAAAATTGCAACAAAGAAAAAACGAAAGTCACAATTAAACACATGCACGTAATTAAAGCAAACAATACAGAATTAAAATGAACGTTTAATGGTTAATCAAACGTACCAAAATCAAATTCAGTACTTACTAATATGAACAATGAAAAAAAACTCCTCGGTTTAATGGGGGATTTAGGTTCAGAGAAGCAAAAGACTGCGTAACAGAATTTTTTGTCTCTGCAAATGTGATTGTATCTATCATGTATTAACAATAAAATTCGTGCTCAAGCATTAAACTTTCAGAATTATCATGCCGATGACCAATGATTTAAGTTATTGATATTGATATATATTGCACTTAAGCTATTAAAATATACAGTCGGTCGCTTTTTCAAATAAGGAGTATAATTAGTTTTCTACAATTTTTGGGGTTGCTGGTGGAGAGAAACCAGTAATTACAGGATTTATTTTATTTAAAAATGATTTATGTATCTCGATACGGGCAGCAAATGCCTCTGTGATATATAAATAAATATCATTTGCAACTAAAAAATCAAGTAATGTGGTGTTTAATATATTGCGACAAACAGTTTGCATTTTGATTACACAATGTTCATGCATGCAATTTGCCAATAAATCAGTAAAATAAACAATAATAATTAAAATTATTAATCTGGTGTCAAGTTGCGTTAACGAATGTAAAATTATCAAAAATTATTATTATTATTATTATTATTATTATATTTTCTTAGATGGATAAAATGAGTTATTATCGTCAATTATCGTGATGTCTCTTGCTTATAAAAAATTACGTATATAAAAATGAATATTACTATCAATATTAAATTTATGTGTATAAAAAATCGAGTATCTCTTTGGGTGCATAATAAGATAAATGTGTATCGCTTCATTCAAGTGCAGAAGTTAGCCAAAAGTTTAATACACATGAGATGCTCTCACGCACTAGGCGAGTTCGAGTTTGCAGTAAAAAAAGTACAGCTCACCTGTTGCCATTGAATTTATTGCTTTGGTCTGTGGAGGGTCCTGGGGGGCACAGCCACTTTTGCCGGGAGGATACAGAAGGCATGGATGCCTGTGAAGCCGCAACCTGGAGACCCTCCTGCTTCTCTTTTTCGGCTGCCAAAGCCCGTTCTTTCTGCAATCTGTTGCACGACCACAGTAAGCAAAAGCGATTGACAAAGAATCGGACTGAACGTGAGAGAGAAAAACACGCATGGGTCGAGAAAATTAAGCAGTTTTAAAGTTCCCGTGAGCACTTACCATGTGTCCAGGGCTTATATCCCAAGGACTGAGTGCATGAAGGAAGTTAGAATGTGGTTAGTTGAAATTTGAATAGATGGAAACTCGAAATATTAATCTAAAAATTATGTGTTAGTAACAAAATTAAAGTAAATTATCCATGTCTGCTTGCGAGTTGTTTTCCTCCAAATAATTTTAAGAAAATCATTTTGATATTCGTCAATGATTGCTTTTTTCATTTCTAAAATGAAAAGTAGTCTTTTTGGAGAATAAATGAAAAAAAAAACGATTAAATGAGACTAAAAAAATAAAAAAATAAAAATTTTGTTGCTAATTTTATGTTGGAGGTGCAAAAATTTTAACAAGGTTATAAAACAGTTAACTAATTTTAATTGGGAATAGACTTTAATTTTTCAACACGAAAAGCATAGATCCATTTTCTTGATTTAACTGGTTACTAAAAAAGTGATTGTTTTATTTTTCATATTGAAAAAAACTAATTAAAACCAGACTTTGATATTTGAAAATAAAAATAATTTAATTAAAAAAGCCTCACTTGTTTTTGGATTGGCGCATAAATTGCTGGATTTTGCGAGCGGCCTGATGTTGCCGGCGTTGGGAATAAGTCCTCCTGGAATTCAAAGAAGCAAATTTTCGGTCAATTTACAATCACTTTCCTCACCAAATTCAAGCGTTTTCTATACGCAGTTAATTTTGCTTCTCAAGTGATTTTAGAGGTATTTCTAAATTGTATTTACACATGAGAGACTAGCGATCGGTTAATATTATAGGAAAACATTTAGAATCATTAAGTTGCTGGAGAGTTGTCATATATCCTTCATACATATAAAGCATGAACATTTAGAGAGTCATACATGCACATATACTCGCTGCGTTGCTTGCTAAATACACCAAACATTTATATATATTATGAGAAAAGAGGCGCGCGTCGTCAAAAAAGAATAGGTTGTGGAGGAAAAACAATTATATAATGATTTTTCGTATATTTTTTGCGCATTAGTGTGTAATTTGTGTGGAGTTTAAAAATTACGTGAGCAAAATTAACGAAGATTTTATTTAAAATAGCACATTGATTAATTAGTTTATCTACCATGAACACCTAGGTTATATATTAAAAATGTATATTTGAACACCAAAACAACAACCACATTGACCTCACGCCCACAGTTTTACATCAGAGCCTGAAATGAATTATTTGGAACCCAATTTATTCATTCTTTTTAATTTTGAAAAGAGGAGGTCTGCTGTAAAGCCTGAGCGAGAGCTACATCAGAGCAGGAGTCATCAGCGGGTTAGGGAGACCAGTAAACATGAGCACATTCGCCACATAGAAAGCAAAGAAGAGTTTTTTAAAGGAGAGCGAGTTATTTATATAGTATATAGACAATTATTAAGTATACTCCAAGGTTTTGGTTTTAATTAATTAGTCAAGAGAGTTAATTTGTCTGATATTGATGCTGTTTTACAATTTCCAATTAGTGCTGAAGAAATTTAAATAAAAAATATAAGAATAATATGTTTTTCCATAGTGATGACTTTTACTTACTCGAAAAAGAACACAAAATTCATGACTGGAATCAAAACCGTAAAAATAATAGGGACATTAATGTGATTATCAAGTGTTGATTTAACGTTCATTATATCCAGCCAAAAGCATTCGCATCTATATATAGGAATAACAATCTCACAAAAATGTCTAGACTTACTTAATTTTTTATTTCAAATTTAAATAGTTATTATACAAGATTTTTTGGCCGAAAAGGTGAACTGTCGACGAACCCTTTATGGGGGCAAATTTTTTGATTGCGATTCAAGTTATTATTCTCATCATTTTGGATAAATAAATCATTCCTACAGAAATTTTTCCAAATTAATTGTATTGTTCAATTTTTTTATTGCAAATATTTAAATTTATTAATACAAAGTTCTTTAATTATTTATTGTTTTCAGTTTTCAATTAATATATCTCATCTGTAATGAAATTATTTAAAGTTGAATCTAATAAAAAAAAGTTGCAGGTCAGATTTAAATTTGTCGTTGCAAAAACTATGAAATCTTTAATTTAAAAATTTTCAATAAAATAAATATATATAAAATTCCTTCAGCACAATTTTACACATACAATGCAAACCATCTACAGTTTTGAAAGTCAATACAATCAAGAGGAGGTGAGAGAAAGGTGGCTAATAGTCAGTTAATGAGTGAGATAGAGAGAGCACTGCAGATGCCGTACGTATATATAAAATAATTATTGTTAGATAGTGAGTCAGTCAATCTCAATAATATCATAATTAAAAATGGGCCCACATCAAAGCAGCGACTTACTTGAGACCCGACCCTGTGGGAGTGCCCTCCCGGCTCTGCCTGCCCCTCTCCTGCTCCCTGTAATTGCGGTAGTAGTTCTGGATGCACACGGCCGCTTCCTGGCTCTTCTTGAAGCGTTTGTGCTCACAGTAACTGCGGTACTGATTCTGAATCACGCGCGCTGCTTGTGTCATCTGCTTGAAGTACGCGTACTGCCGATTCCGTACAATACACATTTTTATTTATAAAAAAAAAAATTGCCAAAAATATTTATATATTCATACAGAAAAATCCGATTTTTGTATCGAAAGGGTTCGGGGGAAATTCTAAAATATGCGCACCTTAGTTCTACTTAAAAAATTTAAGAGCATCACTGAGTTGAATGTAAATATTTGATTTGAAAAAGGAAAGGGTTAAGCTAAAGACCTGTTTGTAGCGTCTGTAATAGTTCTGGATGAGGATGGCAGCAGCCCTTTCCTTGTCCTGCTCCTCGGCCTTCTTCCTACCCTTGTATGAGCGATATGCTTTTTGGATGATCTTGGCCGCTTCGTAAAGTTCTCTTTGCTCGCGATCTGCATTTTTGTTTTGTTTTATAAAGTTATTGAATATTTTGTTCAATTTTTAATTTTACCTGACAGGGTTAAATTGGAGAAATCCTTTTCGAACAAAGTGCCGGAAGCTTGGAAGAATTCGCAGAAGTCTGCAGTTGTGGGTGGTGGAGATGGCGAGTCCAGTGTAAACGAGCTCGGACTTTGCAAGCAACTTGAAGACGCTGGCGACATGCTAGAACTTGGAGTAGCAACGTCATAATACCTGCAGCAAATTATTTGATAAATTTTGTGAAACAAAAATAATCTTCAGTGGAAGATAAAAGCACAAATCAGCACAAAAGATGAATTAAAGTTATTATTTTTCTATATTTTGTGTCACTAAAATTTGAAAAGGATGAAAACAAAGAATCAATGGATTTCTTTTTCTAAATCGAAACAAAAATTTAGTGATTTTGTTTTGTGACTATTTTCCACAAAAATACACTAATTTTCTGACCATTAGAAAAGAACTGGTATGGACAATCTCATTTTTTAATATATTTACCTATAGCTGTGATCACTAAATTCAAAATTGAACTCTGATGTTTCAAAGGAAGAGGACGGCTCATCTAGCATGGGCTCGAGGAAGCTTTCAGACAATGAGTCGGCGTTTGACTCTGGCAGTGGACTTGACTCACTAAACATCAGCTCCTCACTTTCATTCTGAAATTTTACTTTTTATGCATACTTTTCTCATAAATAATTAAAATTTACCTTTATTCTGTCTGGCATTGCAGCGATGATTTGCTCAGCCAGTGTCAAAACTCTGGCGTCTTGTTCCCCTAAAGTTAATAATTTTTTTTTTTAATTTTTATATTTTTTATGCCTTATATATAAGCAATTTTATCGCTGTAAAATGAAATAGAAAAACGGTGCAATACATACCAACGTTGCTTGCTTTGGCTTCTGATTCTTCATCAGAAAGGGCCTCAACGTCTATCAAAGGACTCTCACTGCGTGCACCAGCTACCTCGCCTGACCCAAACAAAAACGTGCTAATCAAAAGCGGCGGCCAAAGTCAATCTTGTTGGCCGTTTGAATATGAAATTTTTTCCTACTCTCAATAGAAAAATGTATTTTTTTTTAAAAAAAAGTTTTGAAAATAATGTGCATGATCAGCTCTTTTATTTCTCTTAAAACTTTTAAATGTTTGAATGCAACTTAAAGTGCATTCAAAAATTTTGAGAACTGGTGCAGTGGTGAAAGTTGTTTTCATATTTTTGTTTCTTTTTAGTCAGCCAGCGTTTAATATACTTCTACCATAGGCCATGCAGGTTTTTGTAAGTTATAAATTTCTACAAAATCGAATGTTTAATCAACTTTTGCCACAACTTCACTCGCTACACGAGTTTATAAAAAATGGTAAATATGATAATGAATGCAGTAATGTAAAAAAGCGATGATAAAAAGGCGCTTACATAAGGCGAAGTCCATTTTCCTTGGTGGTGAACTTCTCTCCGAACTGTCACACAAATGGTCCATCATGTGCGAGTTCAACGGAAGTGACATACTCCTGTCAAATCTATTTTTTCAATTAACAAAACAAATTAATTTTAAATATATAATTTTAATATTTACCTTGATAATTTTGGCGTGTCTTTGCCCAAGTTGGACGCGCTGCCCTTTCGATTTCTCGGATCAAAAGAGGAAGAGCTCAGGTGGATACCACTGTCCACAGATGGACGTTTGGACAAGCGGTGCAGGGATGCGATTGAACCTGCGGGGCTGAGGGAGGATGAAGACGAACTCCTCGAGCTTGAGTCCTGGTTGCTGGGCGAGGTATCATTCGACTCCAAACTCAGGGCTTTGTATTTTTGAGCCTCACTTCTGCAGAGGAAAAGAAACTATTATTTCGCAAAAATTATAGCTTAAAAATAGAATATCATAAAATTTACTATAAACAATGTAATTTAATAATATTATCTTTAGCAATATTTCTGCCTATGTTTTATTACTATTATTATTTTGGTTTATTTTCCCACATTGTTATACGAATACATTGTTTACATTCAGTTTTTGAAAACAATTATTTCAGTAAAAAGTATTGTTGGACAAAACGGCATCACCACTAGCAAAAACTTCCAAGATCAAAAAAACCCAATCCGCCACAGTGAGCCTCGGTTGACTAGAGTTTTTGTCAATTTTGATATTTATTTTTTATTTTTTATGATTTATTATATTGGATTAGTTTCTAATGTGTTACATTTGCTTTAAAATTTTAGAAGTGAAACATTAATTTCTATTCAACTATAAATGTATTGTGTTTATGTATATTTTTAGGCACACATAACAATAAGGGGACTTTTTTAATTTAAATTTTTAGGCCTTTGGATTTTTCTGCTCACCTCGTAACCACTCCAGGCCGTAGGAAAATTCCATCTGAGCCCCTGCTTCCCTTCTTGAGCCTCTCCCTCAAGGGCATTTCGACTTTGGCGTTTTCCCTGCTGGCCTCCAATTTCTCGATCTCCTCCGCGATGGCTGAGTGGTGCGCCGAGCGAGCGCATCCCAGCGCTGATTGTCCGTTGTTGTTCAACACCTTGAGCGAGTCGTGGTTCCACTCGTACAGCACCAGCGCCGTGTCCAGGTGTCCTCTCGAGCATGCCCACATCTGATCAGAGAGTTCATTATTCCTTTAAATATTTAATTATGAAAACACTTACGAGAGGCGTGAAACCATTATCATCTTGACTCAACGCGTCCACCTCAGACTCCAAAACGGGTGACGAGTTTTCCGCTCGCCAGTGCAACATGGCACAAACAAGTCTAAAACAAGATAAGTATTAAAAATATTTTATTTACTGCTTTCCTCTGAATATTCTCATTCTTAGTTTTCTAAAAATCTAGCAGATGCTATTTTTCTGGAATACCTTGAGTATCCCAACGCGGCGGCAAGGTGCAAAAGATTCATTCCCCTGTTGCTCTCCTCGCACAAGGGCTGCTCCTCTCCCTCCCGCCACGGTCGGTGTGTCATTTGTTGGCAGTTTGCTACCATTCTGTCTTCAAAATTGCTCTGAGTCAAAAGGGCTGTACTTTCAACCTGAAAATTTAATTGAATATTGCTTGTTATTTATTTAATATAATAAAACCATTATCTCTTTGTGTGTAAAAAACATTACATCAGTTTCTATAATAATTTGTTGACTCCTAAAAGTTCTGTTTATATCTGAAATTAATTGTGCAAATCCAACTTAATTTTAATAACAGTAAAACTTAGGAGCTATAAAATATAAAAGTTCCATTATATTTTTTTTAATTAATTATTTTGTTTTATAATATTTTACGTCATTTGATGATCGACTTTCAAAAAATTTAGTTACCATTTCATTGCCCGAGTCTGGTTCCTGTTTAATGTGCAACCGTCCGTCCATAGCCTCTAAGCGCTGCATAAGGGTGAACTTGAGCAGATTATCAGAGGCACCACCTCGCTCATGCACCTGCTGGGGTTCATGGGTTGTCTGTAAACGCTCCCCTCGCGCAGGTTTTTTGTACTCAAATATCACAGAATTAGAGATCACAAAACCCTCACATGCAACTTGTAAAGTGACTAATCCAACTTCGTGAGCTGAAATTTAATTTTTTTAAATTAGTTAGAAATGAATTGCGGAGAAATATTTCCAATCTCTATACCTGGACAATAGCATCTAAGTACTCCGCTTTGTACTAGCGTGGTGGGCACAGCCACCGTATCAAAGAGAACAGTATATGGCGAGGTGGTTGAATACCACGGTCCAGTCACCAGAACCTTGACACCTCCCTAAAAAGGGTAGATAAAAATTGTTGAAGTGAAAAAAAGAGTTAAATTGAAAGGAGAAATTGAAGAAAAAAAAAATTGATTCATGTTCTTCAATTTTTTTTATATAGTGTCTAAGAACGTGGAATTTCATTTTAACTAGAAAATAAATTTCCCAGGAGTTTTATTTATGAAAAATAAAATAAAACAAAAGTGCATACGTTTAATTTGTCCATAAACAAAATTTAACCTCAATTAAATTAAATTTTTTAGCCAAAATATAAAATAATTGGAATTAAGTTCACATTAATCATCCCCTCCAGACAAGCGAACATCAAATAAGTAAGTAAAATTATTTAAACGTTTCTAATTAATTTGATTTCTAGTTTCTTTATACCAAATAAAAAGTATGAATTAATTTAATAATTCTAAAGTTGCAATCGATTGTCTAGAACATTAACAAAGAACAATTAAATTTTCTGCAGAAAATTAAATGAAGAATTTCAAATTAAAGTTTAATCCGTTCAAACTTTTTTGCGCGGATAATAGAAAATTAGAGTGCTTCGGTTACCTCAGGATAGGCCCATTCCGGCGAGTAGTCTGTAATATTGGCAGTGCCCTCTCTGTAGTCCATGCGGGGCGAAGACTGGCTGCTCTTGTCGGCGGGGCCAGGTGTGGCGGGGTCGACGGGGCTGGGTTCGGACACGTGCACCGAGGCCGGGCCCATGGAGTGGCCGTGGCCGCCGGCGAGGACCGCGTGGTGCTGGGCGGCCATGTGGTGGTGCACCATGCCGCCCGAGTCAAGGCTCTCCAGCTCCGGGAAGTCGCCCAGCATGTCGAACGCGTCCAGGTTGACAAACACGTCATCATCGCAGTGCGGCGACACGTCGTCGCTGTCGATGAAGTCCATCGGGTTCAACTCCACCACAGAGTCCGTCAACACATTAGCGTGGTGCACTGGCTCCACCACTGGCGGTGCCTGCAATGTAATGTGAAGGTGTTAAAAATACATGAAAAAATGAATAATATTGAATAAAAAATAAACGTACTTTTCCCACAACCGCAGCTATATGATCGTTGGAACAAGAGGGCGGCATGTTGGCGGACAAGGTCTTCTGGATGTCCTCCTGCGACAAGTCCAAGGTTTCGTTGAAGAAACCGTGCACCCCTGTCGCGTCGCTCATGCTGCCGTCGATTTTTGTGTGGTAGTTGTGGTGGTCGGCCGATGAGCTGGTCGACGTGCTGTTGCTGCTCGTGTCCATCGGCTTTGGCGTCACCGACTTGGACAGTTCGGGGTACGTGGATGGTGACATGGATGACGACGACTCGAACGAAACGTTGCCATTCGTCACGTCCATCTTCAGATTGTCTAGCTCGTGGCAGCACGACGTTTCCATCGCCTCTTGCTTCAAAACCTAAACATTTCATGTAATCCAAGTAAATTCTTTTTAATTAATTTTATACAATAAAATTTCTACCCTTAATAGGAAAGAATAGCATAATACTTGGTTAGAAAAAAAAATTTCTCTCTAAATATTAGTAGAATCGTTAAATGAAACACATTTTTGTTGAATTTAAAAATAGAAATGTGCGCATAAATATAATTTCTGCAGTATTAACTAAGTAAAATTTGATTTCACTGTAACTATTTGTCAAAAATACAAACATTCACTTTTAAGATCATGAATCATGATTAAAAAATTAAATTAAAATTAAATTTTTTTTCTTTGTTTAACAATAATTGTTCTTTTTAAACACCAAATTCATTTTAATTATTGTTATTATCATATTTTTTTTAATAAAAAAGTCTAGCTTACCAGGCCCTTGGTGCCCTGCTCCTGCTTCATGGTGTTGCTGCGCACCAGGCTGTTGTTCTGGTTGCAGACAAAGGAGGCGACCGAGACGGGCGCCAGTTGGCCGCCCTGCGACGCCGCCGTGGAGCCCGAAGAGGAGCTGTTGAGGATGAGGAGGCCACCACCACCCTGGATCTGGCTCAGGCTTAGCACCAGCGACGCGCTGTTGTTGGCCGTCCCCGAGTTGTTTTGGCCGCCGGCCGTGCTGATCGTGTCGATGGCGCGCGTGTTGCTCGACATGCTCTGCAGACTGTGCGACGACGTGGCCAAGATCATGCTCCCCGAACCAGTCGTTGAAGACACCTGTTGATTGGAAACTTTCAATATGTTTGCTCCGTATCAAATCTTGCACAGGAAATCAATATGTTAAACCCTTAGGTATAAGAATCATTATTTTTTCATAGCAAACTTAACCAAATATATTTGCGTTTATTTATAAATTTTTTTTTTTTTAAATATCAATCTGGATTCTTTGTGTACAAGAGTTCACTTTTAAAATTTGATTTATATTGATTGTTTTTTTTCACTACTGGAAAATAATATTTTATTACCTAAATTGCAGTGAAGACTTTTTTTAAATATTGTTAAAGATTTTATGAATGAATTCTAATAATGATATTGATTCGTGTAGTTCGGATTGATAAAACTTATTTTTCCAGATGTTTTTTCCTTAATTTTGAAAGTAATATTCTTTTTTGGCTGCGGGTTTCAGCATAATTAATGAATGGTAATAAAAAAAATAGTATTTGGTTTTTCAGTAATATATTCAATTTTATTTTTTTTTATTTTAAATATTTAGTATATAATTTTATACTATATTTCACGTTTTTTAAAAGAAATTCTTACATAGAAATTTATGAAATTCATTTTTTAATTAAAATCATTTCGTTTGACTGACCTGGTTGTTGTTGTCATTGAGTGCAGCCATGTTGAGCACCTGCTGGTTTTGCTGCTGCCTGCCGCCTCCGGAGTTAGACCCGCCGCTGCTGCCCCCGGAGGCGTTGGAGGCCTGTGAAACGGACGAATTTGAGCCGGGGGCCGGCGACGAGGCGGCCGAGTGATGTTCGCTCTTGGCCGCCGAAATGCGTCGCATGGGGTGTGAACAGGCCTTGCCGTCGGCGCACGTCGAGTCCGGACAACCGCACTCCAGTTGCTTGCTGAGCGCCGCTTGTCGCGCCTGACGCTGCTTCTCCATCAGCTGCGTCACGATCGCCTCCACCGTCTCCGCCGTCTGATTTTTTTTCAAGAAATCATGATTAATTTGATTCATTTTCATATTTAGAGTTATTCATCAAAATGGAACTAAATTAATTAAAGATGTACATATTGAAGTAGATTGAAAAAATATTCCATACAAAATATTTTGCTGTCCATCGTCTCATTAATATTCAAGTAAAAATATTTGAATAATTTATGATTTATAAATAATTGCCACACTTTTATGACTATATTGTAAATTGCAATTATGTGAACTTAAATTGTTCAGTCAAGAGATACAAATTTTGTTGGTGGATTGAATTTAAATTCGGCTTTTCCTCGATTTACCCGAAAAACCAACCGAAAAATAATTTAGTCTTCTCTCGACCACCGCCGAGAAAGGTACGCTCAAAACACACGCTTAAATATTCTGACCAAAATTATTATAAAACTTATTTGGTTTTTGAAAAATATTTTGAAGTATATGTCAAATTTTTGTTAAAAATTATTGTTTATGAAGAAATGTAAATTTAAATAATTTTTCAAGAAAAATTTGTCAATTTGAAAGAAAAATAATTTTTGAAAAAATATTTAATTTTGTACTAATTTTTGTCAAAATGTTTTTCACAGCTCATGAATTATGGCTGCAGCCCGCAGCCGAAACATGTAGAGCAGGATATTGTTTTTCTTAAACAATAAAAAACTCACAAAAACCCATAGAGGAAAAGCCGAATTTAAATTCAATCCACCATGAATCAACCCTCGATCGTGAACTTCTACTACAAAACAAATTTTGTTGATCATGATTCAAACGTAATTTAAAAAAAGGAATTACATCTCTCAAATTCAGGGATACAAAATAAAAAAAAATAAAAAAAAAAAACAGGGCGTGTCTGTAATTTAATAATGTTTCAATTTAAAAATCATATTTTTTGACCTTTCAATCACACTAATAGAGTTTGTGTCCATTAAGTTTTTTAATAATTAAACTGCTACTTTAATCTGATGAGGCCAAGCAATTAACTGCCGACTTTAAAGGTCCAGGGGTTGGGAGTGTATGAAAAATTTACGTATTCTAATCATTTGTTTAAAACGTCCAAGCAGTATAAAATCAAGTGCAGCTAGGCCAGCCAGCTCTCATTAAAAAGTAATCTTGAGCCGTCGTTTTCACGAAACGCGTTGTGTCACTTTACGACTCTATGCTGGGTGGAAATGACGCGGCGGGGCAGTGAGCTGGCCTTCAATAAATTATGGGAGAGAGTGCATTGCATTTACACGCGGTTCGTGACTACTGCTAATGTTTTACAGAGTACATTCTAATTGCACTCCATTTATGCACAAGGGTTTCATGACCTGGCCGTGATCTCGCCGATAAGAAGAGGGCCTACTCTGTCCCTCTCTTTTAAAGAAGAATATATGTACATTCAAATTTAAGCTGGAGGAGAGAGAGTTGCAATAATTAAATGGAAATTTGCACTCACCGTAATCTCCAGCTCGTTGTTGAGGTCGGGCTCGTCTTCGCTGAAAACTGAAGAGCAAACGAGAGGTTAGTCAGTCTTGCGCGCTGTCTCCACCATCTGCCGCGCTAATCTACGTCGTAAATTTTGTCTTTCTGCTAACTAACTACGAAACAAATGGCAGTGCTTTTCTGCACCGCCGGACCAGCGGCCCGACTCGCAATAGATTCACCCTATCAATCTTTCCCCCAGGAAATTCAGCAGCAACTTATTTACTTGCAAAGGGAAAGCATCAAAAAGTTGTAAGTTTTGAAAGGTAACAGGTTCCTGTGTTACGTATTTACAATCTGATTAATTAATGTGATATAACAAGAATAGCAACTTTGAATATTAAAGTAAACAGAGATGTCCAGCGAGAAACTTTTTAGATTTAATAACATTTCTAGCAAAATATTCCATTGTAATAAAATTTAAACTTTACTTGGCAATTTGAACACAGTGGAAATCACTCAAATATATTCCAATCAATACTTCTTAATTCATGGCCCTGCAGGTTGCATAACCAACAAATATGATTTGTCTGCTAAAATATTTCCTTTCCCTGTGCATTCTTGATAAAATTGCCCGTAAATATTAAACAGTGAAAAATTTCAGCAAAAATTGGTAAGTAATATTATCACACAAAAAAGTTTGAATTTATTCATAACATTTTGTGTTAAAAATTGATGATAAGAATTCATATTATTTTGTATTATAACAGAGATATATTATAATCTATTTCTTTAGATTAAAATTTTTTGAATAAAAATGTAAAAGCTGCTTTTCCCAGGTAAAAAAAGGAAAGTTGTGATATCTGTAAAGCAAATTTAAGCCTTGTATTTATCTGCGGCTATTGCAGCCTTCATAAACCTGCGCGTGTTTTTGCCCGACGAGTTGTTAATAAAGCGGGTCGGCACATCATGCAAAAATCGCAGGTGATTACGCTTTCGAAAAGCATGCGAGCGGAAATTTGGAATGGCGAGCAAAAGTTTTGCGGATATCATCAGTACGTAGGAATAGCGGGTGAGTGGGTGGGTGGGTGAAAGTAATGTGTGTGTACACACAATCGCTGAGCAAACAGAGCGAATATCAACAGTCAACCAGTCAGAAAATACACACCAATATCAAACGAGCAGAAGAGGGAAAAAAACAGCAAGCGTTTTGATTTATATATTGAGATGGCGTATAATATAGCACACACAGAGAAAGAGAAGCCGGAAACTTTTATTTTTATTTTCCATATAATATCGTGTGACTTTTCCATGTCTTTGAAGCACACACATATCCGATAGGGGAAGCACGTTTATAAAAAGACATCAAAGGCCAAAACAGTTGTGCCTCGTGAATATCTCCAGGCTGGTTCTTTTAATATCTAATACATTTTTTTTTTGTTATATAATGAATTTATCTATGAAAAAGCATCTTGTATCGAAAAAGGTGAATTGTTAGAATCAAATATTAGTTTTAAAGTCACAGGAAAATAGTTTTATTTTAAAACAATGAGTTTAAGAAGTAATATTTTAGATTCTCTAAAATTCAAAAGAAGAAAATAAAAATAGTTTGATTGAAATAATATCTATAAAAGAATTAGAGCAAAATGTAATAAAAAATTGTTTTTTTTCTCTTGTTTGATATTAACTAGAATTATATAATTCTCAAAGATATATCGTCAAAATTAAATTTGAATTAATTTAAGCGAATTGAGCAAGTAAAGATTTTTCACCAGTTGTTAGTGAGATATGGTTCTAGTTGCAATATAGTTCTTGTGCCTCCCTTTGCGACTCGAGCCAATTTTGCTGCTATTAAAATACATGAAACGGGGTAGAGCAAAGTTTGCTTATCAAAATTTGCAAGTCTGAAGGAAGGGAGGCGAGAGCGGCTCTTTTTGTGGAATGAATGCAAGTATAATAACCAACCGGAGAGATGAAATGAAACACACCAACCATTCACAGCTTTTTATCAGGAAACATCAAAGGGCGTGGATTAGAATTTTGTGCGAAAATTTTCCAATATGAAAAGAGATCAAAGAGTGAGAGGGAAAAGGCAAAGGAGGGAGAAAGAAACAAAAAGAATTCGCCATCAAACAATCAAACGACAAAGGGAGAAAGAATACTTTTTTGACCAGTCAGTCGCTTCACCTTGGGTGCATCCGCCGACTGAAAAGGAATTTCTCACCAAGAATAAAAATAATTCTGATTCTGAGGTGAACGGGGGATGACAACAATAAAAATTTTTTAAGAAATATGCTTGATCGAGGGCCGATTGGTGATAACATAAATCAATTGGGTGTCAAAAAAATTCAAATTGTATCCAATAATGCAAAATTTGCATTATTGGATAAATTTGAATTGCATTTAATGTCTTTTGATTTAAATAATTTAAAATGAAATATTCACCTTAAATATTTTTTTCCAAATTATTAATTAAGAATATACGTAAATAGAAGTAATAAAATTATTTCATCTGATTAAGGTTGTGCTAATTTTGATTTTTGACTGTGTAAACTTAAACCGTTTGCTTAGTATTGTGGATTTTTGTTCCTACCGTACTTTTATCATTAATCATGCAAAAATGTGTTCGCCAGCACCAGCATTTGTCAAAAGCGTCGGTTAATTGAGATCAATCAGCAGCAGCGCGAGAGAGCAGAAAGGGTCATTAAAAACCAGCTCACCCTTCAAAAAGCACCACATTCGAGAGGGGCAAATGGAACTCTGTCATTTTCAATAACAATAAAAATGGATGCGAAAAAGTATGGCATGGAGGGCCATACAAAAGCGCGCCGGAACAGACGTACAAGAGAGGCTTAGATTTTATTAGTCCGAATCATGCAAATGCCGCGATAAAATTCCCCACGCAATTAAAATCTTTACAGCGACATAAAATGCATTCTCAGTATGTTTTCGATATGAAAAAAACATTTTATTATTTGCATTTATATCTTTTTCATTAGCTAACAAAAGCAATGTACCACGAGTGTGTTGGCTTTCTAGCCCTGCCGGAAGGAATATTTTACTTCGGAAGTGGGACGAGATACGGCCCCAGCAGTTAAATTTTCCCTCTCGCGCACGAAAGTTGTTCCGAAGCAGCAGCGTGACTCGCGGCAATAATTAAATAAAACACACCGTTTAATTGAGATGTAAATTCGGACCCGTTCAATTAAGATATTACCTATTTTATGCCTAATTCATGCAGCTCTTATCTCAGCGACCTCCAGACTAAATTCCAATTCAAGATTCAATTTCACCAACTGTCACACCAATTAAAAAACATCGCATGTTTAATGAATTTGAAGTGATTAAAATTTGAGAGAAAACGTAAAATGGGCTAATAGAAATGTTAATAGAAAGAAGTTTCAACTGCATTTATAATAGAATACATACATAAAAAAGAAGCTTCTGATACAAGAAAACGCTTCGATAAATATTGATGATGACTCTTTTTAATAGAGTTACTTTCCAATGTGACAAGATATAAATTGAATGTATTGGCTGTGAGGAATGAAAAATTTAAATGAAATAAAAAAAATTAAAATCAAAATAGAATTGAGCCAATTTATATTCTGATATTTTTTTTCCAGAATCAGATTCTGAGAGTCTGCATAGTTAAATTTGTTGAAAATTTGTGAAAACTTCATCACATCACTCCAAATGACTAGGCAAAAAAAGATCAATATCTAGCTTGACCTCAAATTTTCTTAGAGCTGATTCAGTCATATATGAAACTTTTTCCCATGCTGCTTCATTCTTTGCTACAGTTGGCATAATCAATTCTCAGCTATTTAATTATTGTGGAAATAACACAGTTTAATTAAAAAAAAAACTCTTATCTAGGGAATTCTGTTTTCTCGTGATCCTTTTGTAAATGGAAGAAATTCCAGCTCATTCGACGACTAGTGTTTTGTTTTTCCGTTCTATTCTTTCGCTGGCACACGGTGTGAAACGCGACGATTGTATGCAAATATGAGTGTCCGTGCTTTGCATTAAAAGCGAATTAGGTCTTTTGGCAAATGCTGGCGGGTGAGAGGACGATTGAATCAAACGAGGGCAGCGGGAAAACAAAGTGCGGTGCTCGCTCGCTCGCTTGCTTTAATGGTGGGCCAGTGTGGAGGGAGAAGAGAGAGAGCATGCTTCATGCCAAGTCACACGTTCAAATTATTTCACCCTTGACAACGTTTCCAGCCAGCCGATAGGGAGCATGACGCGAGTGGGCGCACTCACACATGGGTCGCAATTGCGACACGAGCTCTTCTTTGGTCCATTCTTTCTTGTCACCCCACAGGGCCAGGCTCGGCGAGATCACTAGCTTGTTGTCGTCTGGGTACGGCACGTTCAAATAGTGCACCAGCACTATGTCCGGATTCTGAAACAAATTGAAAAGTTGCTTTCATTTAAAAAATATTATTGTACAGTAAAAAGCGACTTTTTTTAATTTTGAAAATATTTTAATTTATTTATTCTGTAATTTAGTATCGTATTTGATTTATGAAACAAAAAATGATTTTATTTTAATCTTTTTTGTGAATTTTTTTGATAAGCTTGAAGTGAAAATTGTGATGAAGCTAAGAAACAAAAAATCAAATTATTATATTAATTATCATGAATTTTTATTTAATATATTGCTTTGTAAAGGAATTTAAAAGTGTGTAGTTAATAATTAATTAAAATATGTACGTCTATTGGCACCATGTAATTTACCAATAGTATTATTATATAATATTCCCTCGTAAATTGATTTTTCCCGAACTAAGAAAAAAAAACGCTGTTGTATTTATCCTATCAACATAGTCGCCTTGCAATCCTTCAATGTGAATTTCGATAGCAAACATTTTCTGTCGGTTAAATTTAAAATCACTTGTTGAAGATGATGATTCATCACTTGTTTAATCAATGAATTGTACAAAATTTGGAGCTTTTTAGAAATTAAAGTTTTTCTATTGATTTTTTAATAAAAATCTTGAATTTAGGACTACCGAGGTAAAATGCTGAAAATTTAACAAATTTATTTTTAAAAAATTGAAGCAAATTGAATAATTTTAAGGCTATTTTCAACAAAATCTTAGTATATTAATATATAATTAAGCTTACATTAACTAGATGGTTGACCAAAGTGAATAGATATGCAGATAAGTGCATAAAAACTATTACATATAATTGATAAATGAAAAATGTAAAATACTGTAAAATGTCTAGTAAATTCCTAATCGAGAATTTGATAAATTGATGAGTTTTTTTTTATCAACTTATCCAAATTTTGCCTGCTATCAAAATGCAAACTGAATTGGTCAAATGTGAAATAAGTTCTGAACCATCATTTTAACTTTGAGTTGGTATAGTTTATGCAATTTTGCGCGCGGTCGGCGAACACAGAGCCATTCTTCCTCCCTCGCACTTTCTCTCTGAACGCATTCATTTTGCAAATAGAGAGAACGGGTGGGCTGGTTGGATAACACGAGGGAGCGAAAGAGACCGTTTTCTGGTGGGAATTTGGTAGAGCAGCACCATGATGCTTTTTAACGTCGCTGCTAACAAAGTTTCTGCTCATCAAGTTCAGTTAGTTAGAGGCCGAGAAAGCACTACTTTGCACCGCCACCATACACAGCACGCAGTTGAAAACCATTGTTAATTAAATTTCAAAACTTAACTAATAAATTTCCACGTGGCGGCCGGTGGAAAAATGCAACTTTTTCTCTTTCAGCGGAAAATTAACCGAGGCAGGAAAACGCACCGTTTTGCCGTCAAATCACGAGAAGTCTCGCTTTTGCACTAGTTTTGGAAATTGTTGCGTAATTAGACGCTTGAGAAGAAGTGCTGAAAGTTTGCGCGCGCTTGCACTTAATGTGATTAAAAATTCCAGACGCCTCCACTTGCTTTCCTCTCTTAGACAACATTATTTTCGCAATCTCCACATTGGGGGGCGATAAATTTGTCACCACTTGAAATATTTATGGTCCAATTAGGAGGTAATCTTCGCCGCCCAAAATCACGTAACAAAAATATTAATATATTCACTCTCATTTTCGGGCGTTGCATGCTGGTGTCTTCTCTAAGCAAACAATAACAACGGCCCGTGTTTTAAATCATTAAAACACGCAAGTCGTCTGCTCGTGTAATCCAAGGAAACGGGGCACCGTGAGGAAATTTATTTCCGTCAAATAATTATATTCTTTAATTAATAGCCTGATTACGGAGTTGCAAGGGAGGGTGTCTTTTTCGTGAAATGAGCAAATATCACTTAAAATAGTTGTTTGGCATACTGTGTAGCCGTTTGCTTTTTTTGATATTTAAATAGGAATTATTTTTTAATAACATAAATACAGCAGAGAGAAAAATTGATATTTAAAAATAAGTTGAAATTTTGAAAAATAAATTAGATTTTAGAGATTTGCTAGTTATGTGCATTTTTGTCGCTTAGACTCTGAATTTCACAATAATATTCCTTTTCAATTAGTTGCAGTTGGTTTTTAAGACTGAGCAATCAATAAAAAAAATTTGCGGCTTCATCACTTGATCGCAGATATTATAAAGCATTCAATGTAGTTCTTTTTGTTTATTTAAAATAAATCCAGAAGCTTAAGCTGCATTGGTTCTCAAATAATGAAAATCTGATTTTAATTGGAATAATAAATTGCTTCTCAGCCTCTGTGAAGATTGAAAAAACAAGTTTCATTTGCAGCTTATTCCTGTGCAAATTATCGTTACTCCAAAGGTGGCCGTGCTTTTATCCTGGGAGAAATCCCGAATGAATTGCACACGGAGCTTATTATGAATACACCCGGCTGCCCTGTAATGAGTGCAGTAGCAACGGAATGGCACACACAGAGAAAAGCACTACAACATAATCTTGTGATGTGCATCGTGACTTGACCCATTTAAAGTTGTAAAAGCGGCGGCGTCGTTACTTCCTTTTACTGCTATTGCTTCTTTCGCTGTCGTGTTTTTACTGCCACGGAGCATAATTAAGTTTTTAAAAGGTGAGTGAAGTTTTCGTAGAGGACAAGTTTGTGTTTTCGCTCAAACTCCATTTGGCATCGAGTAAAAACAATCAGCTTTTCAAAATGCAAGATATTTAAAAAAATCATTTTTTTTTTTTTTATCCGAGCGTGACATTTTGCTTTTATTCTGTTTAATTATCTGTGTTACCTTCATTTGTAATTTTACTTTCTATAAATTGTTAGTATTGTTTATGTTCTTAAGAAATGATGGGATGTGATCGTTATTTGGATAAAGAATCAGCAACATGAACACTAAAAGAGACAAATATCCTTGTTTGCTATGGTAGCGTTTTTAAATTCTTTTTGAATACATAATGTGTAGTTGATTAAATTTTATAACTAATTTTCAACATCAGAAGTGATTATCAAAATTAAATTATGTTACATTATAATGTATTATTAATTTAAAAATTAATAAAATTAAAATATCCTACCATTTTAATAATGTAAATAAATTTTTAAAGCTATAAAATACCTTATAATACAAATTTAACATTAATTTAAACTGCAATTAAACTTTTATTTAACTAATATTATTAATCTTAAATTGTATGTATTAATTTCTGTTTTAACTATCATTAATTTTATAACTATTTTACTACTTAATCGACACAAACTTGTCGATTGATGACCTCTGACATGCAAAATCTGTGTCTGTTAAGGGGTGGAATAATGAAGAAGCGGCACCCAGTGGTGAGCGCCCTTTAACCCTCTGGTTCGAGCAGAGTTGCACCTCTCGCCGGGACCAAGTTCTGATAAAACTGCAGGAGCGGGAGAGAGAGCAGAGGCGGAGGACAAAGTTTTATCCTTGTCGCCCTCTCTCTCTCTCTTTTATTATGATGAAAGTTGGGGCCCGACGAGCAGGCAGGCTGGCGCTCTCTTGCTCGCCTTTGTGCCGTGCTAATGATACTATACAATGATGTTACACCACGTAATTTAAGCTCATCTCCCTATAATTCCCTTTGTGCAAGAGAGTGAAATAGAAACACACGCGAAACTCGATTTTCGGTGCCGAGACTTGCGCGATAATACACACACAAGTCTAGCAGTGATTTAGCTGAAAATGCTTAATTGCGTCAGAGACGACAAAGGCAAAGTCTTGCGAAAAGTCGCACCAAATTGCTCTGCTTTAAAGTGCATCAAGACAAGATTACGCGGAGAGTAATTTCCTCTGAATATTTCATGATGCGAGAAAGTTAAGTTTTATAATATTGATCCATCCTAAATCATGATTTTTTTAAATTTATTGTTGTTATTTTAGAATCGTAAACAAATAAATAAATATTAATGATCATTAATGATATTTGAATAGACTATTAACATAATTTAATGTCTGCCGTTGGGCTCTATTCAAATTTCCTTTGTGTGGCGCATTAGAGTCAAAAAGATTTCCATCTCAATCATTAACTAAAATTTTTTTCGAGTGCTGCAAATTTTTAACTTGCTGTAAGTGAGGTCAAAGCAATAAATTAAGGTCGACAAGTTGTATCATTTAGGACCGGTCAGTTGCCTTTCATTATATCATTCATACCCCGCAAGTGAGGATGTCAGTTTCGAACAAGTCTCTGCTTTACTTCGGTAAGACGCACTATCACGTCAAATGTAAGTTTATAAAAAATAAATTATTTGTGTTTCAGTGCTTATGATGCTGTTGTTCGCCACTGCTCATGCCGGAAGGATTGTGGTCATCTTCCGTCGCAAGGTCGGCAGTAGTCGTAGATTTCCAAGAATCACACCTTAGATAGTGAAAAATTCACTGCTTTTTGCTCTTGTATAAATTTTAAATATAAAAATGCGTTTTAAGATTTAATTAATTATAGTGGAAATAATTTTAAATTGTGTACATATGATCAATTTGTTGTAAAAAGTTTGCCAAATAATTAATCTGTTTGGAAATCTAGAGCATTCTTTTTCAGCGACTCTAAATTAACTTTTGTGCGTCACGATCAATGACCCCTGTGCGGTCAAGTTGGTGATAAAATAGCCACGTGACCAAGTGCTAATGATTAAATTATTGTAAGAGCTCGTTCTGACCAGACATGATATTTCTCAGATATATCGTCTTTTTCGGTAAGATTATTTGATTTTGCGTAATATTTAAATATTTGGATATGCTTGTAGCTTTCCTAGGATTAATCCTTCAGACGGCCAGAGCTCAAAAGGCAAAAAAGGGTAGCCATGGAATTCATTTAGCAATCGCTGCCACTGCTCCCGGTCGTAAATGTGGCCCCTACCAAATTCGAATCAGAGGCGTTTGCAGAAAAAGAAAATTTTAATTGTTTGACAATTCAAACAACCGTAAGTAGTATAGCTTAAATAATATAATGTTGAATAGTGTTCATCTATGTATATTCAATAGAAATACTTCTTAAACGTTTATAGAAAAAATATTATGTTAACTATTCTTATATAACCCAAAAATTCTTTGTGTTGATTAATAGGCCCCAGGGTCATTCAGCCGCTATTACTAAAATTTGTTGAGCGGCAAATTTTGAAAGGTCAACAAAAGGATTTAAGGTCACCGATGTGACAAATTTTATTATTAAAGACACCAGTCCCTCGCGATTGATTTTGATGCTTTAACAAGAGCGGACCGAGCTCATTCTACCACTCAAGCCCCACAAGTGAAGATGGCAGCTTTCGTCAAGTCTTTCCTCTACTTAGGTAAGATCGCCTGCACGTCACAGAGGCTCAGATTTTTATTTCGTATAATTCTTTTTGCAGCAATTCTGATGTTGCTCCTTGCAACCGCTTCTGCTGGAGTGTCACGCATACCCATCGGCAAGGTCCTCAGCATTCCGAAATATCCAAAATAATATCAATTGGAAATAATTTAGTCTGATTGTAGATATAAATATAAGCAAAACTGACCTCCTAGTGTGGAATAAGAGAAATAAATTTGTTACCAGATGAAAATGTTGTGCAATAATTTTTTTTATGAAAATTTAACCCACAAAAAATATTTCAAGTTTAATCGAAGTTCTTAAAATATTGATAAATATCAGTTCAAATATATTTTTCAATAAAGAATAACGCATTATTCAAAGGATAAAGTCTAGAACGTTGAGGCACTACTTATTTTTGAAAGCTTCCAACAACCATCACGCCTAACATAATATGCGTTTCAGTCATAAGTATTTGATGAGCACTTTTGTCCCCTCTCGAATGATGATGACGTGATCGCACCGTATATAAATAATTTTAATACTTTACTCATTTCTGCGATTGGCAAGCTGAAGTGAAGATGAATGCTTTCAAATATCTTATGATTTTTGGTAAGAATACAATTTGATTGTTAATGTCAATAATGTCCTATAATGTCAATCATATTTAAATAATAATTTTTTGACCAGTTTTCCTTGGATTTTTTATGGCCGCAAGTGCTATAAAGGAAGCCGGTTCGTCTAATTCTGCAACTGCTCCTGGCCGTAAATGTGGTGAAAACCAAGTTAGAATCAGAGGTGTCTGCAGGGACCAAGGAAGTATCATCAACGCGTAATATTAACAGTAAATATCATATTTGACACGTGTATCAAAAATTCTTTAGTCTTGTGCGGTGCAATAAAGAATTCTTCCATGGTTAATAAAAATTTGTTTTAATCTATTTGGTTAAATTTCAATAAATATTATTTACTGATATTATAGTTCAATTTAATTCTTATTAATATTGCAATATGACAAAATAATGTATGTGTTCTTCAATATCAGAAACGTAAATATTTAGTCTAATAAACCGAGAATTGAAGTTTTCAATAATAAATCTAGTGTATATTTTGTGCATGACGAAACTGCGCATATGGCCGATTAAATTGGTTTGAACTTGAAAATCACCATATTTATAATGTCTCTGACCTCTATCTTTAGATAAGAAGGAGGAGGAGATGAAATATTTCTATAATGCTGCAAAGATTGAGCAAAAGTAGTTCCTAGAAGTGTTTGTAAAATTAAAATTAATTAAATATATTTTTCTCTTTTCAGTTCCTCCGGGATTTAATATTATGAATGTTGATTCCCAGATATAAAGAAACCTTTTGCGAAAGATCAACAATGCTCCTCTCCGCAAGTGCTGATAGCTGATTGGTACTAATCATGTAAAAGTGTCAGCGTTAGTTCTTATTTGAAAAAATTAATTGCAAAATTTCCTAAATTTACGAAATAAAATTTTTATAACATGCCTATTTTGTCATTATTATTTTAATGAACTAAGAAAAAAATAATAACGGAAAATTTCCTTGTTGCATAAATCCATATTTAAAAAAGCAGCTGGACATGATGAGCATTATGTGGAAATTAAAAAAAAAATAATAAAAAAAATAAATAAAAAATGCAAGAGATATGAAGTCACAGAATATCAATATGAACTCTGCCCCTTTAAGCATTGCAATTGCCACGTCCTTTGTATATAATTAGAATGAGGATCGAAATAATAAACATTTGCTCTTTGCATTTCTTGACTGCACCAGCAAAAATGTCCCTAATGATCAAATCGTCCTCATAATCGGTAATTAGTGCGACTAATTCATTGTGTGTGTGGTAATAAAATTTTCTAGCTTTTCAATTAACATTTTTACAGCTTTTCTTGGTTTAATCATGACCATCTACAATATCACTTCTCCAAGTTGTAAATACGCGCTTCAGAAAAAAAAATATGTCAACGGTCAAGGTTTATATTTATATTATGGTAAATGCAGACCATCACCTCGTTTTTTAGCAGTTGCAGCAAAATTAATTAATTAATTTCATTTGAAATAAAATTAATGCATTATTTAAAGATTAAAAATAATCTACTTGTATTCTTGATCCGAGGCACTACCAAACAATATAAGCAATACTAATTGTTTAATATAAATTGCAAATTTGAATGTCATTTTTTTACAAATTCATAAATTTACTACCTCAATTAAAATCAATTCAATTTGGTTGGTCTATCACTTTCCTTAATAATTTTAATCTCTTACTAAATTTAAAAGAACATTTGTAAAATCAGAAATTTATTTTATATCAATTTTTTAAACATAAATATATTTTCAAGGGCTTTTGATTGCAGGTAATTGTAAATACGGCACGCAAAATAGGGCTTGAAATCTGGATTGAAAATAAAAGGGGCGCCACGAGTTCATTAAGTTTAATATCTGGCAAAAGTTTTCCAATCAAGAGGGAAAATGACGAAAAGCTCTTGGAGCGTGTAATAATATTTAACAAGAGAAGTAGAGAGCTTACCTGGAGTAACCAATAACATCTCCGGTGGAAAGTTGGCAGGATCGCTGAATGGACGTAACAGCCGTAGATGCACTGCGAACAAAGAGACACCGATGGAAATTAGAATTGCAATGGAATGCAATGCTGGGTCACGTCCAGCATTTTTTTACGTTTTCTTTTTTCTACCCGCATAAAATAAAATTTTGCGCGACTAGTCCAGAAAAGTGCTAGTGTGTGTTATTTTTTTTTTTCAGCGTTTCAATTACAAGAGCACTCTTTTAATTACGTTTCTGTGTCACTGGCCTGATGAAAATTTAATTAAAAATCCCTCAGCCGAGTTTCTCTAAACAAATTTTTGCCTCCACATCAGAACAAACAGCTCGCAAAACGAGTCTGGTTTAGTAATGAAGCGTCCGCCCGTCCATCCGCCCTCCCACTGAAAAAGCAGCCTAATGCTTTAGTAATAAAGTTAAATGCAAGCTCTCGTGAATTCATCATCGTGCTGAATTTAAATTTTTATCGCTTGTTATACACCTAATTTCATTTGTTTGTTTGTTTGCCCGCGCAAACAGCCATTACCATTATGCAGGCTGCATTTTAAATTGCATATTTTCGTTTCACTCGACGGTGGAAACTAGTAGAAATTTCTTTGTCTAAAGTTAAAGAAAAATACAAATAACATAATTACTCAAAACTGGAACTGGATTCCACAAAATAATTGGAAAAAATTAAATAATCTTATTTATTTTTAATCATTTGGGGATTTTTTTTAAATATTATTTAAAACCAAAGTTGTCTAAAGACACACAACAATAAACACTGACACATGAGAAACACTGATTTTTTAATAAAAAAAAGCTTTAACTTTATTGCTGTAAAATACTTAAAATATTACTAATAATGATATTTCCCTGAAGCAAGTCTGCATGGTTACCTATAGCACTGTTCATAACATTTTTAAATATCTTCTTAAATATTAAATATTTTTCAACACCAGTATGTGATTTGGACGCGGAGAACAGATTGTGGTCTGCCACATTTATTTTTTTATTTTATATTTTTATTGCATAAATGTAGGATACGTAATTGTTTTTAATAAATTGAGGAAGCTTACTAATTGTAAGTTAATTAGTTGTAGAATTGGAATTCAAAATTAATTTTTCGTTTTGATGCTTTAGCCCTTGCAACTAATGCTTAATTTTTACCCCCCTACCCTAACAATAAGTATAATTATAAACTTAAACCTTTTCATTATAATTTTTTTTACGATGTAATTGATTTGATTGATTGATTAAGAAAAAAAATATCTGATAGACATAAAATAAGCAATGATAATTTCCAATCAGTTTTAATGATTATGATTTTTCTGAATTATTATTTCCAAACGGTCTAGTGCTAAGTAAAACATCACACTGCAACTCTTTTTATTCTAATGAGTTACAACCATTTTTTGTTTATATTACTAACCGATAAGCTTTTTGCAATATAAAAATAATTTTTGCAGTTTAAAAAGAAATTAAATAAACTAGTGCTTATCGAAAAACAGCTCTCAAATGATGATCAGACTCGGTATAAAAATAAAAATTCACAGAGGTCATATTTTTATTAATTCATTTCCTTAAACTGTGAGCGGTTAAGTTGGCGATTAAAAACCTCAAATAGCAGTCCAATGAACAACACAAGAACACTATTGAGAGAACTCCTTTAAAGCGAAGATGTTTGCTTTCAAATGTCTGATTTTTGGTAAAAATAATTGATTATTCAGAGGGTTTTTAATAAGTTATTTGTGTACAGCTATCTTTGGGTTATTATTGATCGTGAATGTGCAGAGTGACCAGAGTGCACAGAAGAGTGAGAAGAATCAGAAGACTGCAACTGCTCCTAGACGTTTGTGTGATCCGGACAAAATCTATATCAGAGGTGTTTGCAGGAGTGCATCTAAAATATTGACAATAGAGTAAACAATTTGATTTTTTACTTAAAAAAGATAAAAAAATTTACCTAATTAACAAGCACACTTTCTGTAATGTCTATTTTATACTTTAATGAAATACAAATAAAATAGACTGGTGGGAAGACTATGTTTTAATAATTCCCTGAAAAATTAATTGTGAGATGATGAATTTTTAAGAGATTAAATATCTTAATATCATATTTTCTTCTTTCATTGTGAAAATATTTTTGAGACATTTTCCTAACTTGACTATAAAATACTGCAACTATCTATACTTATATACTTTCTTTCATTCTTATTCATAAAAAAATGGTCCTATACCCTGAATAAAATGAAAAATAAATTTAAAAAATCTACTGTCTGTTGTGACAAAAAACAAAACACCAAAATGAGCACCAGCCTATCTAATTTATAATTATGGAAATTGAGGCCATCAATATATCTTTGAGGTCAAGTTGACGATTACTTCCCCCACTCTCCTCGCCTCAGATGCGTACGAGGAAAGCTCTTAATTACTTTATTGTGAAAAGAACTCCACATCCAAGATGAGTGGTTTCAAGCATCTTCTGATTTACGGTAACAAAAATTATATTAATTCTATTTGCCTTTTTGCATAACTCATTTCTGAACAAAGTTTTATTTGCGTTATTCTTGGTCACGAGTGCTCTGCCTGCACCGAGGAAGTTGTACAAATTTTCTGATGCCCCGAAACGTGTTTGTGGTCAAGACCAAATCATTATCAGGGAGATTTGCAGAAATAAAGGACAACTCATTAAAGGGTAAAAACTCTGAATCTGTTAACATTGAAATATAAAATAAAAATACTAGGAAACTTGCCTGTACCTGACGTAGAATAGATTAAACTACAATATAAATGTACATACAAAGTATCATATTCAAAAAATACATTACATTTTAATGGACAAAATGTTTTCTTGTTTTTCTACTTAATTCTTTATAAATGATTTTTTTTTTTTTTTTTTTTTTTTTTTACAAATATTTGATGCAAAAATTTTTGAATGAGATTTTTTGGGCTATTTACAATGGAGGGCTGTTTTAATTCATAATCATTAATATCCCTGTCCTGTTTCTTGAGAAAAGGAAAAAGCAACGTTTTCTTGGGAAAGTAACAGCTAAAATAAAATTGAAGCTAAAAAAGTAAAAAATTTTCAACAATATAGTCACATGTTCTACAACTGTATGTATTTCAGTAATGATAAGTAAAAACATAATATACGGTGGTCTCGTATATTTGGCGTGGAGTGGCGGAAAGTCGCCCGCGGCTTAGCCAAATTGCATTCCGCCGATTGTTCCAGCAGACTTGTGCGGACCGACGAGAATTGCATGCCTACTTTGGATCCGGCGGCAGTTTGCATTTGCACACTGGTGTATGTGGCCGGCGGGGTGCACGGAGCCAAAGAGTGGTGGCATTATGCTGCCAAGAGCAATTCAAAACATTTTCATCACCGAGCTAGCGAGCGAGTGGCTGAGCCAGCACGAGGATCATCCTCTCCAATTAAATTTGACAAATGTTGCATGAAAAATGAAATTTATTAAACTCCGCTTGGCGCGCTCCTCATTTTAATTGCCGCGCAGCCGGCAGCATTATTTAATTTCCCGATGATTTATAACGAGGGAAGAGCCGCTTTTAATAATGAAAGATAGAAAAAAAGAAAGTGATTTTTCGCTCCACTTCTCGAGCGCCCTTGACTTTTGATTCAATTTGGTGCACATGAAAAAATATTTTATACAAATTTGAATGCGAACATCGGACGACTGGAAAATTATCAGAAAGAATATGATTGAAGTGGATTGAAAGCTCATCGGAAGATAAAAAATTCCTCCCCAGGAGAACCATTAATATAGCGTATTTAGGTCATTTATCTTTAGTAAATTTTGATGATGCATTAAAGGAAGTTGATTTTGCGTTCAATTGAACTGCAAATATGAGTGATTGATGTAATTATTAAATTTTGAGTATAAATATAGTAGAGTAAATTATTTATTACTTGGACTTATTATTTGCAAAGTCAAATCAAGTTTTTTTCACAAAATTAATATTTTCAATGCAAATAATTTTAAATTGAAGAACTTGGGAAAATGTATCTACTTTAAAAATTCGGCTGTCAAGGCAGAATTTATTTTAAGACTTTTACTGAACAATAAACCATATCGTATCGATCTGGACGATCGTGAATAAACTTGTAATATTGCTAAAAGCCTGGCCGTCTATTAATATAATAATAATTTTCCACCCCCTTTCTCTCTGTTCATTGCGCGAGACGTGCTGCTGTGTTTTGTCGGGTGCCTATCTGATGAACCTTGACCCTCATTCGCTTCCTCTTTTTCTTTGCCACCCCCGCGGAGAACAAGTTAGTGCCAAATTAGCCATTTCTGTGGCGACACATTTTGGCCGCGGCACATTTTCCCTCTTCTTCCTTTTTGGGGCGAATCGCTTCTTTTCCAGTCGGCCGCGACTTGAGCACGACTTCTTTCTCGGCCTTTCCTGAGCGACTCGCATCCACACACATTCACCCTATACCGCCGCCACCACCAGCCCCTGCGCCGCTTAATATCGATCTCCGCCCGCGCTTCCTTTGATAAAAATTTTAAACTGCTCCCAGCAAGAGCACCCCGCTCGCCTAGTCTCTCCACTAATTTGTCCTTTGAACTTGGCCAAATCTGCTTCGTCCTCGGGCCGCACAGAAACTTGAGTGTGTCAAAATTGGACAGGCCTTGAATGGGAACTACAAATAATAATCAGGGAATCTGAGCATGAGCTGCTCATGAGCAAGATTGAGCAAAATTTTGCTCATGAGCAGCCTTGAGCAAGGGTTCGTTGAGCATGCTCATGAGCAAATGCGATTGAGCACCCTCCTAGGTGAGCATGCTCATGAGCAGACAAAGTTGAGCACCCCAAAAGTGAGCATGCTCATGAGCAGATGAAGTTGAGCACCCTCTGAGGTGAGCATGCTCATGAGCAAACGTAGTTGAGCACCCCAAAAGTGAGCATGCTCATGAGCAGAACTATTTGCTCAATAATATCCCCTCATCTGCTCCTATGTATTTTTCTCCCTGCAATAAATAGGAATTAGGAAATCATAAATACATAGTGAGACCAAGAAAATCCAGCGTAAAGGTGCTCATGTATCGTCTCCAATACATTATCCCCGTACCCTTTCAAAAACTTCAGTGGCCTTCAGCCGCTCGCCGACTGCCGCCGCCACCCTCTCGCTGCTTCCCCTCTAGTCCTCTACTACATAGTTCCGCTCTGCCTCCTTTATTATCATGTGCTCCTGGCATTCATTCCTTTTTCAAAGACCCAAATAATCCAAGTATTTTAAGAACGCAATTTAAAAATTAATTACGTTGCGACTAAAAATAAAAATAAAACTTTCCCCACTTTACTTATAAATACATTTGACTATTTAAAATCTCAATTTTCTCTTTTTAATTTTGGATTTAAATATAACCTTCAGTATTATAATTAGAGTCTAATGAGAACCATCACATATTAATTCTTTTATTATTTTTATGTTTTAATTTTATGATATTTTGGGCCACTTTTAATTTATTATGCAATTGGATTATAAGGAGAGTAATACAGAAATTGTCTCCTCATATAAACTTGAGCATGAGCAAGATTGAGCAAAATTTGCTCATGAGCAGCCTTGAGCAAAGGTCCGTTGAGCAGAGCATTGAGCACATGCAAGTGAGCACCCTGAAAGTGAGCATGCTCATGAGCAAATGCGATTGAGCACCCTCTGAGGTGAGCATGCTCATGAGCAGACGAGGTTGAGCACCCAAAAAGTGAGCATGCTCATGAGCAGAACTGGTTGAGCAGATGAAAATGCTCATGCTCAGAAACCCTGATAATAATATGAATTCCAATAACTTGGTAGCGTCAAAAGTGTTAAAAATAATGTGATTCTTTTACACACGTCATGGTGATAAGATTATAATTAAGAGCAGATAAATTCCTCGTATTTTTTTTCTTTCTTTTTTTCATAAACATTTGTGTTAGTTTTTACGAAATAGGAAATATAAAAATAGTAATATATCGAGTATTTGATGAACATTTTTACTGAATGTTTGAACTCAATCCACATTGTAGGAAGACTGATTTCAACTTGGTTATATTATTTAATAAAAATGATAATTGATTTGCTAGTTGTAAAATGTTGATAAAATTTTCTCTGCTTAAATATACGAGATTCTTAACTCTTAAATTGTTATTTGTAAATGTTTGTTTATAAGGCATTTTTTGAACCAAACCAAAGAACATATGTTTTCCTTCTTTAATCTAAAATAGCCGAAAGTCGTGAAGATACAAACAAGTGACAAAAGAAACGGCATCGACTAAAACTTTAATTTGGTCCACTAAAAAGTTCCAAGGCTTACTCCAAAAAGTTAATTTTTGCCCTATCATAAAAATGTGTGCGTTGTATAAAAAATAAATATCTACAACACTTTCCAAAGTTTGGCCGTTAACGGTTTTTCATAACTCTAAATAACGTAGGCTCGCTTTTCCCAGGAAATTAAAAAATCTTTCACAAGTTTGGGGAATTTCTGGTACTACTTTCGTTCCCTTGCACTTCTCGAGTGCCGACCGGCAGCTGGCGAGATAAACTTTTGTTATATCCCGTGGCCTGCTTTTGATAGCGCGGGGCCAATCGGCGAGTGGAGGAGCCAACTTGCTGGTTTTCGCTCGCGGAGAATTGTCCGTTATTATTTTTACTGGCGGCGGCACACATTTCTCTCTCTCTCTTTCTCTCTCTCACTCCAGGGTAAATTACCTCTGCGTGAGTTCAAAGTATAAATGATTATCTCGCGAGGCATATATATTTTTATACACCAACTTTTTTTATCCCACCGGCTGAATATATAAGAAGTTCACCTTTCTTTATTCGCTCATTATTACTTTATTTAACTTTTCCAACGGCACGGTCGAAGGAATATAATAAAAAGTGCAGAGAAAGAAAAGGGGCGAGAGGCGAAAATTATTTTTGTCTCTTTCTCTCGTGTACATATAAACACATAAATCTCCGAGGGCGGTCCTTAGCATGTCAGTTTCCCTTTTATGTGTACGACTCGAGGAGAGTGAGAGAGGAAAGTCTGGTAAAGACTACTTGAGGAGTTTGTTTGTCAAATTGAAAAGAAGTGGCTGGCTCTCTGCTTTTTTAAGGAGTCGGGGGGTTAATGAAAAGATTGTGTCGTCGTCGTCGTTTTGCCCGGGCGGAAAGGAGAGGAGACCGGCCTTGGTGACAGTGAATTTGTGGTTTTTGCCGCCGCCCCAAGAATAATTGCCGTCGAGACAAAAACTAATTTTATTCGCCAGATATTAATGCGAAATTTCTTTTTCATCTTTAATGCATTAAGTTGTAACAGATTTGTGTTGAAACGTGTTTTGCAAGGAAATGGCCCGCAATTTTATTCGCCCTCGCTGTTCCTTTCTTGCTATAGCCAAGCGAGTTTTCATTAGCATTTTTGCATTTGTACTTGTAAGAAGGAGAGGCACGCGCGTGACAACTCCGATTGTAAATTACTCGGGCGGTTTTATTGCACACAATGAATTTCGCTAAATTATTTATAAGAGTTGTTGGACGGACAGCGCTTTTTGCGCCGCCTGATGATGACAGAGGCGAATGTTTGGCAAAATAACAATTCATTTCTCGCTGCCTCTTCCCAAAAGTGAGTTTTTACAATAACAGTTTTATCTTATCTTGTTGTCACTCGATTCGAAAATATCTTAGGAAAAAGATTGTGAAAAATTGAATGAATTCTCTCAAGCAAATTAAGTTTTGCACTATTATCATTATGAAGATTTTTAAATGGAGTTTTATACCTATTTTAATTTGCAGCAATTCAATTTACACTGTGTTTGACAATAAAACTTTTGTTGCAAACTTGAATTTAATAAGTACACTCTCATTTCTTATTTTGGAACCTAAAACGAAATATTCAATTAAAATACCTTTCTGCGTTGGAAATCAATGCTTTAGCAACTTAAATATTATATATACTAATTAAAGTATGACTTCTTTTGAATTTTTTAAAAAAAATACATGCATTTTTACTAATATTTGAGCCTATAAAATCTTTAGACTTATTGATAGACTTTAAATTTGTATTTTCACTTTTTTCAAGCCGCCTTTTAATTTAAGAGGAAAGAATAATTATGTTGAAGTGGAACAGACTATAAACATTCTTCACAAACTATGCAAGCTCCACAAATGCTTCAATTTGAAAAGTTATAATTAATTCACTTTCATAATCTAGACTTAAATATAATTGAATATTGTATCCCACAATGTAAATATAAAGATGAAAACTCTTGTTGAGTATGTTGATATGAATACACTTGCGGTAGATCAGGAAAAGTGCAATGAAAGACGCACGATTCCCAGTGACAATCTAATCAGCCGTGCTCAGCAGTCGTGTTTGCGTTCGCCGTTTCGCGATTTCAATCGACTCTGGCAGGCGAATGCAAGCAAGACGTTGGCTGCAAGTGCATGCTTGCCCTCTCTCCCGCTGCTCTCGCAGCAAGAAAGATGGATCCGAGTTGGCGCCATATGCAAGTATGCTGACGTGCAAGAAGCAAGAGTTAGTCTCGTATATAGTCCGGGTGATATCGCGCACACACACACTCTGACTCCACACTTATATCTAGCACATCTCCCACGAGAAATCTCCACACCAGCAGCTTCTTCTTTTCCATGTATTATACGCTTTAGATAAATCATGATACAGCGCCACGTTTTTTATTTCCTTCGCCCTGGTGAGCGAGAGAGCAGCCCGCGATATTTATTTATGCAACTCCCGCTGCCGTTGATATCAATGACTTCTCTCTGTGTACTTTATTGAAATTTCTAGCTGCGCGACGACGGAGCGTTTAAAAAGTTATGCAACCGGCAGTGCATACGAGACGCGCGGGTTGCACAGTCCATCAATTCCGTCAGCTTCACCAGTTTACTTCTCAATCATTTGAATATTAATAAAAGTGTAGAAATAAAATGCCAATGTAGAAAGTTTTTAATGAATTATCCATATCTCACAGTTTTTCCAGAAATTGTTGTTTTATTGGTTCTAAGCTTTAGGAAGTAATGTATTAACAATTATATTAAGCCTAGATTAGTGACCAAAATCTTTAAAAATGTTTGGCGATTTAATTATTTTTGTACCAAAAATTTGAATGCATTTCTCTATTATGTTTTTAATAGAAAAATATAATAAAATTTAATATACGCATAAAATATCTATTTTTTGCTTAGAAAATTTGTAGTGAACTAGAAAATTAAATTATGAGGGTCAAAATGTGAACAACACACAAAGAAAATGACTTGGAAATAAATTAAATGTTAAATTGTTTACACTCATCAAAATATTTTTTTCTATCATAGATGTTAATAAAATTTTGTTTCTTTATTATATTTTTGACCTCTAAACCTTTTTCAACGTCCTACCTTAGCAAATCGATATCCCTGGAAATATTATTACCGCTCGGAAGAGGCTTGAGTTACGGGCGTGTGGCGGTATAAATTTTCACCGCACCTTCCGATGGCAAATAAGTGGGCGTCGTTGATCTAATCGGAAGCGGGTTGAAATTTTTATCAAGTCATCGGCGTAAAAAGTGCGAGCCGAGAAAGGACCAGCAAGTCTGGCGACTTTTTTACGGCGATTTCTCTGCCGGATTTATTTATTAACGTGCCAACCTTAAAGAGGGATAGATTTTTCTACGCGCAAAAACTTTTCGTTTGAGAAAAAATTAATCCTGGCTCACGATTTTGGATTAAGTGGCGGCGGTGGCGTTTGAAGTTGTTTGTATGTAAATATTTGAATAATAAATTAGAGAGAAAATCGTCAAGCGTGCAGCTTCTCATTTCCCGAGTAATAAGTGTGCATAAAGGATCCATTACCACGATAAACACGTCTGCCGCGCCCCGTACTAAGCTTGCATGTAATTAAAATTCAATTTAATCGCACGTGGTCGGAATTACAAAAGCCACTTACCAACTATGTCACGGCCGCCCTCTCTGTGTGGAGAGAGTGGCGAGAGAGGAGGAAAAAATACGGGCGAGAGGTGTTTGTTTTAAAAAGGTTGGAATTATCAGCCAGTGCAGGGATTTATTTCTAATGGACGCCTCTCATTCAGATAATCTAGAGTTGAATGGCCACCGAGACTGAAAGTAGTGTGAAATCGAGTTTCATTCAAGATGGGCTAATTAGTAAAATGCAAGCAAAGCAACTCCAATTATCGTCTTGCCAATTTCCTCGGATCTAATTGAATTTCTGCCGACGCTATTTTCTTGCACCTTTATTCTCGAGGCGAGTTTCTGACTGGAATTTACAAAATTGGCCAGCGTCTGCGTTTCAGATTACTTCATTAATGAAAGTGAGAGAGGCTGAAAGGGTTTCCTTTAATTTTCCTTTGGCAAAGAGATAATTTTCGGGCGGTTATGCAAATATTTTAAGGCAACAAACGCTCAAATTTCTCATTAACGAGCAAAGCAATTCAGATTAATGAAAACTAACTCTTGTCTTGAAGTAAAAAGAGGCATTAATATCTCTCATCGGAAGTTTGTATTAAATTATTGAAAATATTTTGTGAGCCTCAATTCATCTTGTATTTTTAGTTTGAATTTATACATATTTATAAGTGTATGATTCACTTGGCAATATTATATATTTGTAATATTGTTTGTTCGATTTTAACACTGATACATAAAAGTGCTTTCTAAATTTCTTATTTATTTCATATTATTCAATGTTAATGTATGTATGAGAAACTTACCAGTGTTTTGCATATTTATTCTAAGGAATTAAGATTCTGTATTAATAATTAACTCTATATACTTAATCTTTCTAAGATTTGGCCTAACTTTTTAAATTTTCTTCAGAATCTATCCAGCAAAATATGTAGACGCTTTCAGCAAAGCTGAGCTGCATCAGAGGAGCACCAGATCGTAGGAAAAAGGGTCTCGCGCGTCATTTCTGCCCTCGGATCGCATCAGCAGCGTCATGTGCCAGTCGATTTGCATTTATTGAACACCAGAGAGCAAAATATTTCGCCCGCTCCACTCACCGAAACCTGCGAATTCAGGCAGAGAAGGAATTTTCCGCGTTTGATAATATTATATTTGAATCAGAGAGAGGATATTTATTTGAGAGCTCCAAATGTGCACGTGTGGCCTAAAATGCATTTGATGAGGGCAATAAACGTCGCCGAGGTGAAATGCGACAGAAATGTGCCGAGCGTCCCTCTTATTGTAAATCGTTTAAGAATGCGGTCGGCCTGAAATACATATAAATGCAAAAGCGTGACTAACCTCAGTGCCCTGGACCTTCAGCTTCATGTGGTCCTCGCGCGTCGTTTTCCCGTCTTTCCGCTTCTTCCAGCAGTAGCCGTCCCTACGATACCGCACTTTCTTCCTGCTGTACAACAACATACTTCCACTCTTTGGCCTGAAACACACAAAATTCGATCTTTAATTAATTTCCATTTCATCAATAGCTGCTTGAATTTTAAGATAGGAACGAATTCTGGGTATGTGAATTTCTAACTATAAACGTAGGAAAACCAGGCCCAGCCATAAAGCCAGGTTCAGAGGCGGCTATCGTGTAGCTCACACGATTTGATTGCTTGAACGACAATTAATATATTATATTTTTCTTTCTTTTGATTATTTATTTCCAATGTTGCAGGTTCTACGATAAACAGCCGCATTTTAAGACTTAGCAAAAATGTTGATGTTTGAGTGGCCAACACCTGACGACAAAGCCTTAATTAAAGGATTATGTGAATTTGGCAGATTGTGGCATGTCATTGTGCCTGAGAGTAAACATTTTGCGTTGGCAAGTACAATATTTAAAATATCAGAACATCAGTAAAATTAAATTTTTTAAATTTTTTAAAGAGAAGAGATGACCAATTCAATTATTAAAAGCAGTTCATAAAGCTGTTCTAAGCTGATTTTTTATTATTTTTTTAATTTGCTTGAACAGAAGGAAAAGTTAATTTCACTGTCCTCTTATTAAAAAGATTATTTTTTAAGATTTTTTTGTTTATTTAATCTCAAGCATTTCACAGTTAATCAAAGAAACGATCAGGCAATGACTTTTCCGCTTCAAAACCACTTGAAAGTGTTGACTTTGAAAGCAAGGAAAGACGAGCAGTTCCCTCCTCTTCCGAGTTAAAAGAAGAGCTTTTAAAAAACACGGCGCGGAAGCATTCTATTCAGGTCACAGTCGCTCTTTCTCCCGGTTCTAATTTTTGCGTGCGCGCAGCTGCTGTGCTCTCCCCGGCCGAAAAAGGAAAAACCGGAGCGCGCGCTCAAGTGGAAATTTAATTCGTGGAATAATTTAAATTGTAAGATAATAACATCAGCGCTAGCAGAGGCAGAAAACGCGAGAGCGAGAGAAAAGCAGGCAAGAGAGTTCAAAGGATCCCATTTTCTTCTGGCTGCCTGTTTAAATAAACACCCACACCACCCGCGCACGAGACTCCCTTTTATATATGTATTTAAGTAGGAGAACGTGCGCGTTTCGGCTATTTTTTTTTTCTTGCTTTGGCTTCGCACTACTAATTTTCCTTCCAAACTAAGAAAAGTGCAGAAGAGACTGCAACTGGCCCCAAAATCATTCAAAGTCTTGAGACTTTTCTTTGGAGGGAGAGACTTTATAAATTGATCTCTTTTGCGATGAATGAGACTTCATCTTCAAGGTACTTATATTGGATATAATAATGGGATAAAATAGTTATTCGTGCGTACTTTTATGAATAAAATAGAAAGAAATTGATGATTTTCTACGATTATTCATGTAGAAACAAATTTTAGGACTTAAGTTTTGTTGTCATTACTCTTCCATTACTTTTTATTTATTATTAATTTTTTTTAAATATTTTTGAGCTAAAAATAAGAACAAAAATTATACAAAAAGCAGCTTTCTATTTTTCATCTCAACCCACATCATCAATCTATTAATTCTCTAACCAAATTTGCATTTTTTAATTATTATTGTAGTTTATTTTAATATATTGGTGCAAATAAATTGTTTACATTCAATTGTTGGACTAAACGGCAACACCACTAGCAAGATTTTGCTAAAACTTCTGAGATCAAAAAGAGACCCCATCCACGGCATCATGTTTTTGCACCTTTTAATACAAATTTTTTTAGCAGACCTACAAATCTAAAAAAAGTTGAAGAATATTTTTCTAGAATGGAATGCCAGAGGGGATTGAAAGAAGCCCTGGAATCGTTCCTTGAGAATTAATTCGACCTTTCTTGGAGGAGAGCAGCCGTTCAAAGTGATCTCTGGGGATGAAAGGCTCTCAGTCAATCAAGCCTCTGCCGTCAAATCAGAGCCGGTGTGTATCGAATTTCGTGAGGCCAGGCGGCAGTCCGTACCTGAGGCAGAGTTGCCTGGCAGCGAGGAGGTACCATGATAATTTGCATAAAGTAATTTGCCCGGGGTCACGCTCGTACGCCCGTGACGGTACCGACGAGCTGCAGAAACACAACTTCTCTCTCTCACACACACCGTCAACCAGTGAGAGGGAAAGAGAGAGCCCAACGAAAATGCACACACACCTCCCACCTCCCCAAGGTATCTCTCGCTTGCTCTTCTGGCTGCGAAATTATTCTTCCTCCGACTGCCTTAATTCATTTCCCTCAAGCCTTGGCCCGTTTTTGTGTATGTTAGACAAAAACGATAAATTATATTTATACTAAATATATTTAAAATGTATCAACTAAAACATTAATAAAAAATTTAACTTTTGATATGGTCAGGTATTAATTTTTTTTAATATTACTTAAAATATAATATTTTATTTCATTGTGATTTGTCATATTTTTGAAAATACTGCAAGAATTTTTTTTTTTCAAAATTACGTTGTTAACTAGATACGTAAAAACCATTTTCATTTATAAAAAATTCATATGGCATAAAAATAAAATAATATTGTAAAATAAGTTGAAGACTTTTGGCTCATTGGAATCAATTAATTGTTGGAAAAAATAAAAAGAATGCAATAAATCATGAGCCAATAAATCTTGTATAGATAAAAATTTATTCAATTAAAATTACGTGACTAAACAGTTATTGTAGGCAATAGCATTAAGACTGGTTCCAAATAGATGCTTTTGTGGTTTACAGCTGTAGTGAAACGCGAATTAAAAGAAAGCCGCGTGTAAAAGTGTCATTGCCCATTACGGGAATTACCTGCAAAAGAATTTTATTCGCTTTTGCAAGCAGTGTACTTACAGTACACAAAATTCATTAATCACGGCCAGATTAGGTAAAATCGTGTAATTACTGCCGTTCCAAAATCAACGCTCGCAGCTAAAGAGCTTTCAGATAAATTTGGTGATACGCCAAAAACGCTTATGGTGGGCCGGCGTGTGCACACACACACATTCACCCTGGTGGAAGCATTGATTAAATTTTGACGTGTGAGACTCGGTTCTCGTTAATGAAAATCTTAATTCGGTATCTCAATCGCGAAAGGCTTTCAGAGTGCGTATTGTTTTAATCTTTATGGCCGTCGTGCCTGGCAAGAAGTTTGGCAGGGGCGACTCGGACGGTCGATTTTAAGAAAGAATAATTATGTTATTAGAAAGATCAATACAATTAATATATGTAATATTTCTATTTATATAAACAATGTATAATTTGTTTTAAAGAAAAGTATTTTTCATTTTTAGTTTTAAATTACTAAAAATAAAATAATTTTACTTTATTAAACATTTTTTTTATTTTTTATTATATTTTCACAGCAACAAAATTCAAAATACATTTAAAATTTTTGATTTTCTATTTTGAAATTTTAGATACAAACATAAAAATTAAATTTATAGTACTATGATATGCCACAGTGTAGAAATTGTGATGACAAATGTCAACTAATTTTAGTCTCATGAGTGCTGATGGGTTGATATTATACTTTTTATAAATATTAAAATTAAATGCTTCATTAAATGTATATTCAAATATATATTTCATAAAAAATTAAACAGAAAATATTAAGTTATTACCCAGTGCAAAGAGATAAAAGATCTCAATTTTACAACCGCAATTCATCATCCTAAAAAATCTCTTTAGATTTCACCCTAGTTGTGAAAGAAGAGATGACGGACCTTGCATCATAAATCAAGAGACAGGTCCGCCACTGATTGAATTTTGGGTCCCCGAAGGAGAGAGTGACAAAGTAGTGCATTGCACTTCTCCACTCTACCTCGGAGGGAAAGTGAGTTGAAGTGGCGCTGACGCATCCGAAATGCAAGGGAAGATAACCGGCCGCTTTTGTGAGAGCAAAAGAACCGAGTAATCCCATCGCCAGGCCAGCTTTGCTCGTCGGTCGCGTGTAAATGAGAACTTGCAAGGGTGTAGGTGTAGAAATAGCTAGCGTGTCGACTATCAGCTGCGAGGCACGCAACTGCTTTGCTGCCCTTGGAATAAATATTGGTTGGGCATTATGCATGTGGAGGAAAGAAAGCCACCGGCTGAAAAAATAGCCCCGGGAGGAAAAGGATTAACTCCAAAGTACGGCCGGCGAAAAAATTATTCGCTCGGAAAGATCAAAAGATACCGAACGTGGGGTTTGCTGACTTTTGTATATTTTTTTAATACGCACCGCTTTCTTTCCCCTCGCCGCGCGGATTTTCACTTTTCACGAGCGTGTCCAGGCGACCACTTTTAGCCGAGTGCGTTCGGCCGATAGCCGAGGTGAAAAATGGCTTTCCGCTGTGGAAAAATGTGGTTTTCAGAGTTAATCTTGATTGTGCCACATTAACACAGATGCTTTCAAAATCTTTCCACACGCCTAAAAGCTTTTGCTTGTGTGTAAGCCTTGAAAGCGTAAGAATTTTTTAAATGAAAATGGAAAACGTGTTTACAGGGGATTATAGTCGAATTCACTAACCAAGAATTTTGGTCAGCACTTTTGATTAAAAGTAACGTGAGATAATTCATAAGTAATTCTGTTTTAATTTAATTAAACTACAAAAAAGCCTTAATATATTTTTTTTTCTTCAATGGCAGTTAATTAAATTAAATTTATCCTCTTTCGACGATTTATTAAGAGTTGCATAAATTGACTTTAGATTCTACACATGTAAGAATCACAAATTTAAAAAAAAAAGCATTTATAGATTGATATTGATCTCCAATTTGTGAAATTTATAAAGAATAAATTAAACATAATAACATTCTAGACAGATAACCTTTCTTAAAATAATTAAAAATTGCTTTATAACACGACAGCTACCCATTTTCTGAATTCAAAATTTGCCTATTTAAAAATTTGTTTTTGAAAATTTTTTGAGATTTTCATTCTTATAACGATGTAGAAAACCTATGGTTTCGTTTCAATAAATATTTCCATTTTAATAATCACATTGCGGTCTTGAGTCATTAATCATTAAATTGTGTCGAAATTTCGTTGATCAATCACATGATTT